TGAAGCAACAACCTTCACTCCAGCACATTCCACAAACACTGACAAAACTTCAACAAAACCACTGGCAACTAGTCCTCAAACCACGCTGGCAACCTCAGCAGAAACACCTTCTTCCAAAACAAGCACCACTCCTCAAGCCAGCTCTGGAGTCTCAACATCAGAGGACACACGTGGACCATCTTCTACCAGCACCTCGTCTGATGCCACGTCAGCCAATGTCCAAACCACCCAGAAAACCAGCATAGGAAACACTGCACAGCCTCACACCAGCACACCAACCTCTCCAGAGACAGACACCACCTTGGTTAGCACAGTCACCTCTTCTCCACTCACCACAAGCAGCCAAACTCCTTCACAAAGTGCTTCCTCAGAAACAACCAGTTCAGGTAAAGGTACAAGTTTTACTCTAATTCCATCTGGTGACAACCATACAACTCAATCAACTACTGACTCATTGGGCACTGTGTCTAGTCAAGTGACTACCTTAGGATCTACAGGAAGTGTGTCTATTCTTGTCACCAGCACTGGTTTGCCTACAATCTCTGAGGTTCCAACAACAGGGGAAGCAATGAGGAGGTCATCACCAGCCTCTTTTAACATCTCCTCTCAAAAAACATCTGTTGCTTCCGAAACACCTCAGACTTTAAGTACTGCAACTACCAGAGTATCTGAAACTTTCACTTCAGTTTCTCAGGTGACCAACATCTCTAACCTTCCTGCGTCAGCACCAGATGGGCACACATCTACACAGACTGCAAGGCACACTCTGTCACCTTCAGGTACCACCACCACACCTTTCTCAACTGCTGACAGCTACAGCCACAGAACGCAAACAGCACCACCAACCTTGTCAGTGGGAATGACTGAACGATCAACTGTGGTCAGTTCCTCTACTCTAAGGGATGTGACCTATCCTTCTTCTGCCACCATTTTGCCCACAAATGAAGAACGTGTGACCACAAGTTCAAGCTCAGCCATCCATGAAAACATCACTGCAGTGGTCTTGCCTCCAGTACATGGAAGTCCCGGCTATAACCAGTCAAATACCACACCAACCCCATCTTCTTCAGTGAACCTTTCAAGCACATCCACTTCTCAAGCTCCTACCAGTCGTGAAGGAATAGTGTATACCAGCAACCCAGTGACGAGACCAGACTTTGTACAATCAACGAATACTCCAGGTCTGCTCTTATGCTTCTAACTCATCACTTCCCATCACTTTTTTAACCTCTGTATGAACCATGACCTATACTTTCATTATGTATCTGCCCCTCGTTGGTTCCCAGTCAGTAACTCTGACAAAACCATCAAAATAGAGTGTAGTTCTGTCAGCCCATCACCCTAACCCAAGTGAATTCTGGAAATAGCTACTTTCAGTAACACAACCTCTGATTGCTCCGCAGCAGAGTACTCTACATGAATTTTAACATTTCTCTTTCTCAGTACCCAGATGGAGTAAACTCATGACTTTCATTCTATCCGAAAACCTCTAATCATGAGCTCAGTTTTTTGTATGACTGATACTATGAACTTAGCCACAACACCACCTTCTTTACAACCCGTAAAGTCTTCATCCTCAGAAATAGTACCTCAGAATATACCAGCCAAGTGAAGCTATGTGGCCCTTGAAGCTGCAGCCGTTACCCCAGCATACTTCACAAACACTAACAAAGTTTCAACAGAACCACTGACAACTAGCCCTTAAACCTTCATGGGAACCCCAGCAGAAACATTCCAAAACAAACATCATTCTTCAAGCTAGTTCTTTAGTTTCAACCTCACAAGGTCCAGTGGGTACAATCGTCTTTTATCAGCACCTTATCTGATGCCACAGTAGCCAATGGCCTCACCCCTCAGGCTCATAGAGACAACCTCACACTAGAACATCAACCTCTCTAAGGACAGACATACTCTTGGAGAGTACAACAACTTCTTCACACACCACAAATAGTCTGACATTTTCAGGAAGCATTTCCCAGAAAGAAAAAAAAAGACTTCAGATAACGTTTCAAGTTTTTCAACAATTCCATTCGGTAACTGCCACACAACTCACTCAGCAACTATGTCATTGGACACTGTACTCAGTCTTGTCACTCCCTTAGGAACTATCATGCAAAAAAATGTCCATTCTTGTCACCAGCCCCATTTTGCCTACCATTTCTGAGATCCTATCAATAGGACCAAAGGGACAGGCACTGCTAGTCACTTTCAGTACCTCTCCTCAGGAAACATCCATTGTTTCTCAGATGGCTGGGCTTATAAGCACAGTAACTGCCTGAAGATCTGAAATATTCACTTCCATCTTTTGGCTAACATACCACTTCTCAACAGCTACATCTCCCCCTCTTTTATTAACACACGATGGACATACATCTCCACAAACCACGATGTATTTTCTAACACCTTCAGGCACCAGCGCAACATTTTTCTCAACCCTTAACATCTACTGCCACAGAACTCAGAAGCAGTATCTATCAACCTTGTCACTGGGTGTAACTGAAAGATCAAGTATAGTCACTATGCTGAGTGATGTGACCTCTCCTTCCATCATCATTGTTTCAACAGACAGAGAAAGTCTGGTAATAAGCCCTAGTTCAGTTATCCATGACAACCTAATTCCAGGTGTATATCTTTACTAGGAGTTATTTAACTGTTCAACCATCTGCATTACCTGTTTCCTTTATTCATATGCCACATGAAATGTTTGAATAGTTGTAGGGTGCTCCAAGGTGCGTGTGTTTAACCAGCCCACTGAGGAACATGGGGAATTGTGTATTTTGTCCACTCATTAGTAAGATAACCTTCTCAGAGTGGTGAGACTGACCGTTATCAGTCCTTCAGTTACACCCATTAACAAATGTCTATGTTGCTGTCTGAACATCTTTTTATGTACACATTGTCACCTTTAAGTAACATCGAAATCTTCATATCAACTCCTGTCATCTTCACCCTCCGCATCCATACAGCAATGTTAGCAATAGAAGCCTTGTTAGAGGAAACAGCTGAAGGCCAATGATGGTTATCTGTACCATATTGGGTGATGCAATCTTTTCTTCCCCTTCCAGAATTCTGTCCCTCTTAGGCAAGAAATTCTAACTGTATGCCCTAGTTTTTTTTTTTACCCTGAAAACATCTTTGCAGTTGTTATTCCACTGATAGCCATGTCTCCTTGACAAAAGTCACTGAAGGGGCTCCTCGTATCGCTATACTAAGTACATTAACTTCTCTTTAGCCAACAAATTTTCAAGCAGTGTCATCCAGTACTGGTCACACCACAATAATAAAGTGTGTGAGTTCTTCAACTAATTTCAGCAGCATAGTTGGATCCAACCATCTTTGTTATTCCTACTTTTATCCATTCCATTGGTCAAACCACTATTGATTATTTTTAAGCATCTAAAAAGCATTCTGAGGGTCTGCTTTGACTTCACTCTCATCCACTGAGTATAGTTTCTCTGAATCTGTTCTCTCTAGTAACATAAACATAATCAGCTTGTGTCAAGTTCCTATATTTCAACCAGTAATTCTTCATTCTCTTAATCAGCCTCTGGTCCCACAGTCACTTGGAGCATTCATACTGCTTCTAATACTAGCATTTCTAATAACCAGCATAAATAATCACACTTTCCGCAGACCACATTGAAAAGTCTCAACCTGAGATGTAGGGACTCCAGAGTGTGCTTGAGAAAGGACAGTGAATTAGTGTTACTAGGCTAGGAGTGACCTAGGGAGCTCTGGTGGCCTAGTGCTAAGAAGCTGTTACTGCAATCTTGAAACCACAGTTCGAATCCACCAATTGCTCTTCAGGAGAAGGATGGGCAGTCTCCTCCTGTGCAATTAACTGCCTCAGAAAACCCTCTGGAGGGTCAGCTATGGGTCAGTTCCAATTTGATGTTACATAGAAACAACAACAGGCTAGGACTGAGGCAAGGCCTACAAGTCTAGTATGATAGGGAGCGGGGCTAACAGGCCCTCTACCTTCTCTGTCCTAGGAGAAAACTATCTGTAAAGAGCAACTGTTAAGACTGTGACCCTGCCCTTTAAGCACAGGATGGAGAAGAGAGTTTCTGTCTCTTTCTGCTTTTCTTTTAATCTCTTTGACCCTAAGACTCATGCTTGTCTTCTCTCCTTACATTTCCAGGGACGATGCCAACTTCACCAGGAACAAACAGTGCAAGCAGTGTAACAACGTCACTACCAACAACTACCTCCCAGACCTCTCCAACCTCCACCTCCACCACAGTCACCCGCTCCACAGCTCCCCTGGTCCCTATTGAGCCTGAAAAAGGTGACTGGGACCTCTCTACCTTGGGACTGAGGTCAACGTGAATGTGGTGGTTATCAGTGCAGCCATGGAACTAGGATCGTGTCTATCACTGAGGGCTCATTTTGGAGATTGGAGGAGCTGGATGTAGTAGCTGGATGTCTCCAGCATGGCTTCTGGGCCACAGGAGGTCTAACTGCTCCTCATCTTCCCCTTAGAGGGGTGATGTAACTGAGCGTTCAGGCTCTGCCTGCTTGCTCACAGGCTCTGCCCTCCCAGGTTTGAAGAGCCTTCTTATCGCCACTGGGTGGTGCAGTTTAGCACTCAGTTACCAGCTAAAAGGTTAGTTGCTCAAATTCATATGATAGAATCTCGGAAGAAAGGCCTGGCAATCTATTTTCAAAAGAACACAGCCACTGAAGATGCTACGGAGTACAAACCTACTCTGACACACACACAGAGTCACCATGGCAGAGGGTCAGGGAATAGGGAGACAGAACTAGAGGTTGGTGTGGAGTGTCTGCTTCATATGTGGCCCTGGGCTGGAGAGAGGAATGGCCAACGTGCTGTCCCTGCTTTCAGGAAACACACAGTTTAAGTCCAAGAGACAGATCAGCATCGACATAACATGCTCTGCTCAAAGAGGTGGTTTGACCACTGCAGTTTCAAAAGAACACATTTCACATGAATTTGAACAAAAGAATACCTACTAATCATTGTTTACTCTTTCTACTTTTCATATATGTCATGCACTTCTAAATATCTAGGGAAAACTAGATGTTTCAGATAAGGACTTACATTTGCCCATTCCTGTATCAGAGAATGTTTAACTCCTTAAAGAACTGTGGCTACCAGAGCAGAGGCAAAATATTTGGTCTTCTGAGAGCAGGACCTGTTTCTGTAAACTGGACTTGAAGTTCTCAGAGTTGAGAGTCTCAAGTTCGGGGATGAAATGAGAAGTGTTAAGTGAAGAGGGGAGGAGAAAGAGAAGTTCTCAGTGGCTTCCTGGTAGAGTCTGCAGGGGTCTCTCAGAGAGCAGAGGAGAGGGACAGCTCTCCGGGGATCTCTCTTGGCCCTAAAGAAGATCAAGTCCACAAGGATTTTTTTCTCTGTTTGTACCACCCAGGTGTTTCCCTCTTCTTCTTCGGGAGGCCTGCTGGAGACCAAACACTAGTCAGGAGGACAGTGGACTTCACTTCACCCCTCTTCAAACCCAGGATAGGCTTCCCTTTCGGCTCCTTTCTCCGCGATTCCCTTTACGTGAGTACCCAGATGTAACCCAACCTTTAGGGCCCTGTTTCTCTCTCTAGCACCTGCACCTAAGGGAGAAAGAGGAAGGGAGAATGGAAGCAGCCACCAATAGACATTTATTGGGTCACATCTGGTTTCATTGGAAGTCATCAACTTCTTCAGTGTCAGGGCACTAGCTGAGGAACGCAGGGAGCTAAGTAAGGTCTTGCTACTCACGTGAGCAAAAGCATCTTCACCCAGTGAAAAGATCCTCACTCTTCACGAGGCCTTTGATGAGTAAGTAGGAAGCTATACTTGGGAAACATGACAGTTTCATGCTACTGCACTTTCTGTGGTTAGTTCCTGGGGCCTGGGTTCAAGTACCTCGTATCCCCTGGAATAGGGTGGGAACAATGCTGATCTCCCTGGCTCTCTACAAGGGGACAGGGAGGGGGTGGGGATATTAGCCAGGACACTGTAAGAGAGAATGAACAGCAATGGAGTACATGTTACAAACCTTTTCAGTCTCATCTAATATAATGTGAGCTTCAAGATGGCCCAGAAGATTTATTAAGTGGAGGGCTGATCTGAGGTTGGCTCTTTGTGTGTGAAGGAGGCATCTGTGTGGGTGTCTACCAAGTAGACTGTCTTAGGAAAGATTTAGAACCATAAAAGTATCAAGTGGTGAAAAGCTTATGATGCGAGAGGGCTCTACCGGCATGCAGGGAAACGCACAATGATCTCTCTGGGGTCGTCGGCATCTGATCTTCTCCCCAGAGAGATCCGTAGGGGCCGCATTCCTGAGTAACTGGACCAAGACCAAAAAGTTTCCTTCTCTTTCTCTCCCTCAATCTTAATCTGAAGCTCCACTGTGCTCAGTTCACAGATAACGGCCAGGTCATCTTCCCTGATTCTGACTACCAGCTTTTCTCCTATCCATACCCACCACGCAGCGGCTTCACGGGATGGGATTCTGTGGCCCTGGTGGCACCATTTTGGGACGATGCTGACTTCTCCGGCTACCAAGGAACCATATTTTACCAGGTAAGCCTTTCAAAGCCTGGCCTTGGCACCCTCCTAGCAGTCAGCAAAGAAAGACAAAGGGGCTGTGGCCAGAGCCTGGGCTCAGGGTGGGCAGGGACAACTGCCCGAAACGTGGGAGGGGGACAGGCTGGAGGTAATTTAGTAGGGTGGAAGGAGGAAGCAGATAAGAAATATTAAGCCAGCAGAGACTCTGGAAAACCCTGATACAGTCGTAAGAAGACCTACAGATGACAAGAATGGCTTGTCAAATCAGTATTTTATTTTGGAGTAAGATCGTAAGGCGTACACAATGCATGGTTTAAAAGCAGGAAAAGTTGTGCCAAGATCATATCTTTTCACCATACAATCACAACTCTCTGCCAATGAAAACCCAATGAAAAACCTGTTCGAAATATTGCCTCTTGAAACGCCAATGGAGGGTAAGTTATAAGTCAGTTCTGATTTAATGACAACGATTAAATTGTATACTAAGCAAATAATCTGAACTGTATAAAGAGGAATTCCACATCAAGATGGGAGGTAGACTCACCAACAATCTGTACAGATAGATTGCACACCCTGGCTTACAGAAAGCAAAGATGATTAGAAGCACTTGCTGATGAAGCTTGTAGAAAACAGCCTTCAGTATGAATTACACTTCAACATCAAGAAAGCAAAAATCCTCACAACTGGACCATTCATCAAGATAAATGGAGAAAGGATGGCAGTTGTCAAGGAGTTACTTTTACTTAGATCCACAGTCAGCCATGGAAGCAGCAGCCAAGGTATCCAATGACGTACTACTGTGGGAAAATCTGAAGCCAAGCAGCTCTTTAAAGTGCGAAAAATCAAGACTATCACTTTAAAGGTTGAAGTACATGTGACCTGAGTCATGGATTTTCAACAGCCTCATCTGCATGTGAGAGTTGGACAGTGAATAAGGAAGACTGAAGAACTGATGCCTTTGAATTGTGCTGTGGGCAAAAAGGATTGAATACACCACGAACTGCTGAAAACAACAAACAAATCTGTCTTAGAACAAGAGCAGCCAGAGTCCTCCTTACAGGCGAAAAGGATGAAATTTCATCTCACTTATTTTGAGCATGTTATTGGAAGGAGCCAATCCCTGGAAAAAGATATTGTGTGTAGTAAGGTCAGAGAAAGAAAGGAAATCGCTCCAGAGAAGTGGCTTGTTATGGTGACTGTCACAGTGGGCTTGAACACAGCAGAGATGGCGAGGATGATTCCGAGTCCTCAAGGTGGAAATGACTCGACACCATCCAAGGCCAGCCAGTGGCTCCCAGAAGAAGGAAATCATTCCGGTCAGTGCAAGTACTAATGAAAGAGCTTTATAGATGTTGTTTTTAGGTGTCGTTGAGTCAAGTATGACTGACTCATGGTGACCTATGAGCAACAGACCTGACCCCTGTCCTATCCTGTACCATCCTCATCATCTCTGGCACACTTGAGCCCATTGCAGCAGTCACTGTGTCAATCCATCTTGTTGAAGGTCTTCCCAACCTTGACTTACTTTCTACCTTTCCAAGCATGATATCTCGTGCTAAGTAATAACCTTTCCTAGCAACATGCCCTAATCTTTGCCTCCAAGGAGCATTCTGGCTGTGCTTTTTCCAAGGCATATCTGTTTACTCTTTCAGGCAGTCTATGGGAGATTCAGCACTCTTCTCCAACACTTACAGTTCAAAGGCATCAATTTTTCTTCTTTCATCCTTATTCACTGTCCAGCTCTTAGATGCATAACTAGAGATTTTAAAGATCACGGCTTACATTAGGTGCACATTAGTCTTCAAACTGACATCATTGCTACTCATTATTTTGGAGTGGTCCCTGACAATGGATTTGACCCTAACAGTGATCCTTGCCCAGTGCAATATCTTTTCATCTCCTGACTGCTCTGACAAAGGATTTTGATTGTGCTTTATATTGAGGTGTCTGGAAATGTGCATTGTGTGTCTGCTGGAGAAAGCACTGTAGAGGGTCCAGAGATGGAAAAACAGCACTTATCCCCTATCTCACTATGGTAAAGCCAGTTTTGACCAACCCTCTATCATGTTCTGTAAGCTGTAAATCTTAACAGGAGCAGATGGTCCCATCTTTCTCCCTCATATGTTGTTGTTATGTGCTGTTGCATCGCCTGCGACTCATAGTGACCCTATGTACAGCAGTTCTGAAGCCTGTCCTGTCCTGAACCAGTCTCACTGACTCCAACACACCAACTCCAATTGCCCCAGTTACTGTATCAATCCATTTCATCCAGGGTCTTCCTTTCCTGCACTGTCCCTCCACCCTTCTAAGCATGTCCTTCTCCAAGGATCAGTCTCTCCTGGCCACATGCCCAAAGTATGTGAGATGGAGCTTCAAAATCCTAGTCTCTAAGGAAAAACTTCATTTCACCCTCTCCAAAACAGACCTCCTTGTTTTCTTGGCGGTCCTTGGGATGCTTAAGACTTCTCCAGCATCACAACTCAAAGGCATCAATTCTTCTTCTGTCATCCTTAATCATTGTCCAGCTCTCTGATGCATAGCAAGTAACTGCAAAGACCATGGCCTGGATCTCCCTCATCTATGATGGATATATTCAAAATGCCAACTTCTTGGTTAGCAACCCAATACATAACAACACACTATGCCAACAGTTTCCTTCAACAGGAGATAAAAGGGTAGAGGGACAATGCAGGAGTGGAAGACGCCGGATGAGATGGATTGATACAAAGTGGTTTACCAGATCTTAACTAGTTTGCACTTTGAGGTGCATGAATTGGCAATTCAGAGGAGCACAGCACCTGCACTGGCCTGGAGTTCTGCACCTGGACTTTTATCCCCAAGCGTCCCAGCACTTAAAATTTAAATAGGTCTTAAGGTCATAGGTGTTAGCAAACCTGAGAAAGGGGGCAATGGGCCCCATAAGTAGAAATATGCAGAAAGTGGGGGTTTTGAGGGATGTGGGAGAGGTCTTCATTTCTTTGTCTTTATATGTCTTCTTTTCTTAGGAATATAATACACTCTATGGGGAAAGCAACCGACTAGTCCATCAGGTGGAGTCCTGGATTACAGAGTTTTCACATACCTGGTACAAAGCCAGGTGGACCCTAAAGGTCACCTGGGTTAACGTCCCTGCCTATCCTGCCCACTCGACCTTCGGGGTGAGTAGATGGAGGGGAACTGTACGCCCTCGGTAGGTTAGTCATCCTAGAGTCCCAGGCAGTGGCCGCTCTGAAAATATTCTCTAACTTGTGAGCTTGCTGATTACAGTAGATGATACTGCCAACACCGGTGTGCAGAGTTCTGGTCAAATGTCACACCTGCCTGAGCCCCTACTTATGCTGTCTCCCAGGGTCCAGTGCAGGAGGGATCATTAGATGGAAACAAGAAACACAATTTCTGTAGGTAAAAAAATGACTGGCTATTGGAAGTTTCCTATGGCTCAATCTGATATTACTAGCCAGGTAATAGTTTCAGAAATGAGGAAGAGATGGTTAGAGGGGTTAAGCAACTTGTCTGGGGTCTCCAGCTAGTAAATTAGTAAATGGTAAAGCCAGGCCTATAAGCCAAGCTTTTCTGACTCCAAACTCTGACTCGTAATCCCAGTGCCACCTATTGGAAGCGGGACAAGCCACACAATCTTCTTAGTTTCCTTCTAGAGAATCACAAATCTTAGTCACAGTGTTCTTCCTCATGTCTGGTCTAAAATCACTTTTCCATTCATTCTACAAAAATTTGAAGGTTAAGAAAAACTTTGGATTATGTCCTTTGTACCAAACATAGTGCTTGACACCTAGTCAGGCCCTGCCTTCATAAAGCCTCCAATTTCACCTGCCACACGTGTTCCCACTCCATTCAGGTTGAGAGGACATCGGCACATTGTCTTTAAATAGTCCCAAGGAAACATAAGTAACTGGCTTTTGGTCAATTAAAACTTTCTCAACTCAGCTAATCTCTCAGATTCCCATAACTTTCTTTCACAAACTCTCTTACATCTTACTTGTAACCCAGCGCCCTTTATCTTGTGTCCCTGGAAATAAGCCACTAAGAAGGCAGGTCCACTGTGCTACATATTTTGACACCCAGGTGAAACGTTGCCATGAACAGTCCCAAACTTCCTCTGGGAGGCCAGGAATAGGTGATATGTGTACTGAGGCAGTAGGGTGGGGCATCTGGGCAGACACCCCAAATCTCTCACAAGCATTCCTATGTTTATCTCCAACCAACCCCTAGACCAATACCTACCAAGCCATCCTCTCCACAGATGGGAGCAAGTCCTATGCCCTGTTTCTCTACCAAAATGGAGGCATGCAGTGGGACACTGCCCAGCGCCGAGGCAACTTGGTCCTCATGGGCTTCACCAGGTAAGACGCACTGACTGAATATCACAAAGGGATGTATAACGTGGCCAAGGTTTTCACTACATCAACACACCGTCATCCCTCAGGATGAGGCGTGAATCCTTCTCCCTTGTGTTTTTGAATCATGCTGTCTCCAGTTCCCAGTGGAGTCACACACTGTGCTATTTAAAATTGAATATAAACAAAACCAACTTGATGCCTTCAGGTTGACCTCAACTCATAGCGGTTGCATGGGCGTCAGAGCAGAATGTATACATGAAGTTTACAGTGGCTGATTTTTCTGTATGTAGATTGAAAGCCTTTTTCACCAAGGTACCTCTAGGTGGACTTGAACCTCCAAACTTTTAGTTAACAGCCCAGTGCATTGACTACACCATCCAGGGATTCCATTTAAAATAAAAAGATGCCTGTTTGCTCTGCCCATGTCTTTCTTATCCTGGTAACCATAAGCTATGCCTTGCTCACACACCCTACTGCAATGTCCTCATTCAGTCTAGCCCTGCCAACCACGTCCCCACCCAAGGAAACCAAGCCCCGCACACTGTAAGAATTCCCTTCTTTGACTTCCCTGATTTCCTGACTTCTCAAATATCACTATAAAAACACCAAACTCAACCCACTGCCATCAGATATCTTCTGACCCATATATAACACCAGAGTTATGAGTTATACTCTGTAGAAAGAACTGCAATAACAGGCTTGAGCAGAATTTCAAAGATGGTGCAGCATCCCGGCAGACTGTCGTTCTGTTCTGTACTTAGAGATCACTATAAGTCGGAGCCAATTTGACAACATCTAACAATCTTTATGGGAGGAGACTGCCACATCTTTCCCAGGCAAAGCAGCTGGAAGATTCAAATCAAATAACTTTTCAGCCAGCCACTGAGTGCATAACCACATCACTAGAGTTGCTTATAATAAAAATAACTACCACTTATTCCACTAGGTACTTTATATGTATTATTTTGTTTAATTATCACCAGATCTTCATGAGGTAAGTTGTATTTATGATACACATAAGGAACTAAGGGTACAAATGAAGTCTAAAGTAATTATCCAGTTACATAGATAGTTCCTAAGTAATTTATCCAGTTACATAGTTAGTTGGGGACAAAGAAAGCATTTGAACCCAGACATTAGAGGTTGGACTCTGCCTCCCTAATTTTTCAGTTTGAAAATTAGCTGCTTTCCCAGGAGCATCCAACACTGCTCTCCCAGGGGCACCCAACACCTTATGTGGGGCAGGAAGAAGGAGAAGAGGTCAGGGTGAAAGGTTATTGGCTTTTCCACGTATAGAGTTGTTTGATCTCTGACATAACAGTTCTCAACCATGGTGTTCTCAGTGGCTAGTATGTGGCAGTCTACCTTGTAAAGGAATCACATTGAATTTACATTGGTAATTGCTGCAAATGATTTACTCAGAGCTCAGGATCGCCACTGTCATTCCATGACTTTCACTCACATTTGGAAGTGCTGTGGGGGGAAAAAAAGAGTGCAACTATTCAACCACTAGGAATTCCTAGAAAGCTAGGTGCTTCACACCGTCCTGAGTACACCCTGGAGAGGAGGCACACATGTGGACAGTCATCTGCTGCTGTGTCAGAGAGGAGGAAAACACAGAGACAGCTGGGAGGCATGCGCCTGGCTGAGGCTGGAGGCTGCTGCTCCAACCCCACATCTGAGGCTGTGATGACGGCTGTAATGGCAACAGTGTCCAGTAATTGGGTCTTCACTCAGTTCTGAGAGACTTAAAAATGCTACCTCATTTAATCCTCACAATACTGAAGATAAGATCATAATCTCTTTTATACAAATGAGAAAACTAAGAATCAGAGCAATTTGGTAGCTTGCCTTTGGTAACCAAGCTAGTAAGTGCTGGAATCAGGAGTTCAACCCTGACTTTCGAAATCCAGAGACGAGCTCCGAACCATCACAACACACTGCTCCCTGATCCTGAACACCTTAAAGATGATTATGGGGGAGTCAGCCCCAACTTGTGGCTACCCTTACACACCAGAGTAGAGCTGTGTCCTATAGGGTTTTCAGTGACTACTTTCCCTGAAGTCTATTGCCAGGCCTTTCTTCCATGGTGCCTGTAGCTGGTCAATCTTTCTGTTAGCAGCCAACCAAGTGAACCATTTGTGCCGCTCAGGGACTCCCTTCAATCTGTAGCTTAAGAAAAGTATTAGAAGGAGGCCTGAGCCTCTTGTTTTCACACGCCTGTCTCATGACCAAGCAGAATGGCCAGTTTCTCATGCTTAGTAACCAGATGTGGAGTTAGTTGGAGCCCCCCCCTTCCTATATATCCATTTCTTTGTTCACACTTATTACCAACCTTAGTGATTCTAACTGGCGAATCCGTCAACTAACTGACCAATGACTGAGCTGAAAAACTGACGACTAGCGAATGAATGATTTATGGAAGGGAGGAAAAAGGAAGAAATGAGGTGGGGAAAGGAAGGAAGGACTGACTTGCAGTGAATTCCCTGTGTGTGACAGACTTGTCGCGAATTCCCTGTGTGTGACAGAGACCTGAGAGTCTTTCCTTTGCCTACAGTGGAGATGGGCATTTCCAGAACAGCCCCCTGACATTCCGGCCCATCTGGGAGAAGTATCGTCCAGATCAATTCTTGGATTTCAACTCAGGTAAAAGCACCACTTCCTCTCACTAGTGCTGGTCTCGAGCTCCCTTCTGCTCTCCTCTCCAAGGGTCACGGAAGTCTTGGTGGGCAGCTCCCTAGCTTCTCTACCATTCCTAATGCTGTCACCCATCTCCTGTGGGTGGAATTAGGGCTTGGTACTGGTCAGAGAGCAGCTGCTGCTTTGTGCGCCTTGAGACACAGTACAGTCTCTTCGCAGGCTGTGTCTCCTGCCTGTGATGAACCAAGTCCAAGAGCTCTTCAGTGAGGGGCCGGACCCTAGAAATGAGAACAGGAATATCGTGGGAGATAGGAATCTGAATGGACAGGTAGGATAATACTCCAGCTGCCTTGTCCCAGAGTTGGGATGAAAACCTGGACGACATCCCTTATAAAAATCTACCACGAGTCTGGAAGACTGACATTGATTCATTCAACATTTACTGAGTATCTGTTACATGTTGGACACTGGACTAAGTGGCAGGCATACAAAAGAAAAGAACAAGATGTAAGTTGTTAGGTTAGTTCTCAAAGGGTTCCGCCTCTGATAAGGAGGCCAGTGCTTCACTATCAAGATACAAACTATGCCTCCTTTCCAAGACTCAGTGCAATGACTCAAGACTCAAAAAAATGAAATCATCATTTCCAAATGTAATAGATCAAAGGAAATTTTATTTGTCTTATTTTTTAAAAAATTAATTTTATTGTTAGTATTTTAGCATTTATATACATTGTGTTTCATACATGTATATTATGTTCCATATAGATTTTCATCTACATTATATTTTGTTCATTTATATTGTGAGAATTTTTTCCTCCCTTACAATTATTTCCACCAACAACTACAAATAATTTAGAAATAATTAGGAGGGGGTTTTTTGGTGGCTTATTGCTGTTATTTTTTTATTATTAATTTTAATGAAAATTTACAGAGACTTTGGATTTCCATTCATACATAGTTCTTGGGTCATCAGAAATACAAATCAAGTCAAGTCATGGCTGCCACCTTGTGGAGGGAGCTGTAGTGTCAGAATGATACATTCTAATGGGCTTGAGTGTGTCAGAGATTTTGAAGATGGCACAGAATGGGACAGGTCTCGGATCTGCTGCTCATAGGGTCACTATGAGTCATTCTCAACTTGACAGCACCTAACAACAACAAACCAGGATACAGTGACCTCAGTGTAGAATCATGACAGTGATGGTGAGTGTGTGTGTGTGTGTGTGTGTTAGCAACAGTGTTTGACATGTTTCCCCTGATATCAAGTGTCTTGGTCCACAAATAGGCAATTATAAACAATGATTATTCTCAAAGTTTTAATAAAATTAGTTATCTTGGCAATATATGCATTTCGAGTTAAAATCTAATGCACAATACCCTGTAACTGATCTTACTGGGTTCGGGAGTTCCTCTTCTCACCCACTGTGGTTACGATAAACAATGGAATATGTATGCTTCCCATTCCAATGGGAGCTCTGGTGGCCTAGTGTTGAGAAGCTGTGCTGCAACCCCAAAGGCACTCAGTTCAAGGCTATAGCTCCTCCACGGGAGTACAATGGGCAGTCTCTTCCTGTGTGATTAACTGCCTCTGAAAACCTGCTGGAGGGTCAGCTATGGGTTGGTTCCAGCTTAACGGTAAACAACAACTACTACCAATTAAAGATCTAGTGAAAGCTCAACCTTGTATTAGAGTATCTCCTCCCGGTTACTACTTCTTCCTCCCAGAGGACACTGTACACTGCACAGCCTTGTGATATTGAAGCAAGCCTCTCCTTTACATGCTTGACTTCTCTGTGGTTCCCCCGCTGCCTCTGGGCATTCTCCTCTACCCTGGCTCCTTTGGCCACTAAAGAGTCTTTGCTGGGGGAGAGAGTGGCAAAGGAAATGACTGGTGCATTCACAGCATAGTTGATGGCATCCCTGGATGTTTCAGAGAGCGGGTGTGGGGAGGAAGTGATCTGGGGGGCTAGAAGTTGTTGAGATTTATAACAGGGCAGCAGGGTGAAGGATGAGGTCAGTGGAGGGTTCAGGGGTTGACTCAGATTTGGAAGCTAAGAAGAGCTCTTTGCCCAGTACTTGTCCAAAGTATTGCTAAGATCCAAGCTCTGAGAGTTTTGGGAGCTTATGTCAAAGCTCTTTTGAGGCGGAATCATTGCCAATCTGTACTGGATCAAACCAGCCCTGAAGAGCTGCTCAATGAAGGAAGGGTGAAATGTGAAGGTATATTTCTGAGTTCCGGTTCTTGCAAAGTTAACGCCACCTGCACAGCCCAGCCTGTGCGATGACCCCTTTTTTCTCTCTTTCCTTCAGGTTACCGGGGACTACAGGTCTACACACTGCACAGGGAAGAAAGGCCCAACTACCGGCTCAAGTGCCTCCAGTGGCTGAACAGCCAACCTCAGCGGCCCAGCTGGGGCTGGAACCACATCTCCTGCCCTTGTTCCTGGCAGCAAGGACGTTGGGATTTACGCTTTCTGCCCACCAACATAGGTGATGCCTTCTTCTTGTCTCTTGGGGTATCCTCGCTACCCCCATACAAACCCACCCATCATTACCTCGAGTAATGCCTGACCAGCCTTTTCCAAAGAGTCTTCAGCTTTTCCCCGGAATCTCCACACATGTCCCTTCCCAGGGTTTTTTCACCGTGATTCCAACACCCCACCCACCCCCGACCCTGTCATGCTGACCTGAGTATGTCTGCACTTGTTGCAGGCTGGTGGGGTCGCGGCAACAGGCAGCTGTGCAGCTACTCATCCTGGCGAGGGGGTGTGTGCTGCAGTTATGGACTCTGGGGAGAGTTTCAAGGAGGCTGGAGAGTGCAAAGTCTGTGGCACTTTGGTAAGTATGTCCAGACCATGCATTGCTCCTCCATCCATTCTGAATCACTGAAAAAGCGTATCTTGGTTGGTAGAAGGCCAAGGAAAACTCTTAAGGAAATAGAGGGGCTTAAAAGCCACACTAATAACATCAAAAGTGTTGTAAAGATAGTAGATATAATCTTCAAGAAAAGAATACCTTTTAGCTCCCATGTATCATATATCATGTGCCAAGGTAAGTAGGAGTTAAAGTTTTTGGGAGGCTGTAAGTCACAAGGGAGGAGACTGCCCATCTCATTCCATATCTACCATGTGCCATGACTTCTTCTACACAATAATTTATCCTACAAGCCTGCAAAGGGGACAGAAAGTATATAGATCAGTCACTGAAGATCATTGAGCAGAGCAGGGTATGAACTGAGGTGTGCTTGATTGCAAAACCAGGCTACTGTTATTATAACCTCAAGTCTTCCATCCCTTCCTCCATCTCCCCTAACATGCTGCTCTTCTCTTCAGATCAAGAGCTAGAGGCAGAGAACTGGTGTTGCCGCTGGAATGACAAGCCTTTCTTCTTCTGTACTCAATACCGACAAAGGCAGCCCCGCATCAGCTGTACTGGATACAGGCCTCCAAGACTAGGTGAGGCAGAGCAACTGGTAGAGAGTGGCCTCATGGCTTCAGGGACAAGGAGATTTGACCAGAGAAGGGCTAGCTTTTGAACCAGAGTTACAGCTGTAGGGAAGGTAAAGCTGTTTCCAGTGTGGTGGCATGGTAAATGGAGGAGTTTTGTTCATGCGGTCAGGGAAGGGCTGAGAGTAGGAGTAGAGAAAAAGGAATAGAATGGGAGGAGCAAGGGATCCTAAGTGTAAGAGGACTTCATGGGAGAGTTTCATACTCCATTAACATCTCCTCTGGCTTGAGTCTACTGACAAGTAGCTGCTGGGCAAGTGAGGTGGACAGGAGGATGTCTTGTTAGGTGCCATCGAGTTAAGTACAACTCATAACAACTCTATGAACAAAATATCTGAACCCTGTTCTATCCTGTGCCATCCTCACATTTTCTGACACACAAGCGCTCATTGCAACAGTCTCCACATCAGTCCACCTGGTTGAGGGTCTTCCTCTCCTTCACTGACCCTCCACATTTCCTAACCAAAAAAAATAGAAAGTGGAACAATGAAATACAGAATAAGAATTGCTGCATTTGAATTGTGCTGTTGCTGAGAGATTCTGGAGAACTGCCAAAAGAATGAACAAATCCATCTTAGAAAACATACAATCAGAATGCAAGCAAGGATGACAAGACTTTGGGTCAACTGGTTTTGTCCTGAATAACAAGACCTAGAAAAGCATAAGTTGGTTGGTAGCAGGCCAAAGAAAATCCCCAATGAGATAGATTGTTATAGTAGTCATACCAATGGAATAAAACACATCATGAAGATAGGGCAGGACCAATCAAAGTTTATTTCTGTCAGACAAGGTCATCATGAATTGGAGTCAACTTGAAAGCAACTAACAATGGCAATCACCCTTGGTTTTGGGTGCCAATGTGATGTCTCCTTTTTTCTCTAGCCTGGATGTTTGGAGACCCTCACATTACCACCTTGGATGGCGCCAATTATACCTTCAATGGTCTAGGGGACTTCCTGCTGGTCCAGGCCCAGGATGGAAACTCTTCCTTCCTGCTGCAAGGCCGCACTGCCCAGACGGGCACGGCCCAGGCCACCAACTTCATTGCCTTTGCTGCTCAGTACAAATCCAGCAGCCTGGGCCCAAATACAGTAAGTGAGGGGGAGCTCGGGCCATCCCTGCATCCCCCATTGAAAGCCGTTCAATGGGAAATTGAGGTCCAGGAATAAAAAGAGAGCAGGAAGAGAGACAAAGAAGCTAAAGGAGTTGGGAAGTGGAGGAGGACACACACTGATAGTACGGTGGCTTTGAGAGTAAGCATTCAAGTTGACAAGGTTGGCATACTGGCTCCACCATTTTTACCACCTGTGTAATTTTAAAGAAATTCATTTTCAGTGCCTCAGATAATAATATATTACCTACCTCTCAGGGCTGTTGTGAAATATATGAGACAATTAGAGGGATGTGCCTTTCACAAAGTCTGACTCGTGTCAAACAGTCAATGTTAGTTATCAGACCCTCCTTGCCACATTCAGTCACTTCATCTTCAATCCCTGAGTTGCTCTCAGGTGCCTCCTTTCTGGACCTCTGAACTCACCTACGTGGCAGACGTAAGCCTCCTCCTTTTTTTCCCCCCCAGGTTCAATGGTTCCTTGAGCCCAATGACAAAATCAAAGTTACGCTCAATAATAAGCCTGTGGAATTTGAGGTCAACCCTGAAGATGCTGAAGGTAGGCTGAAGACAGCCATCAGTCACCTCTCCTGCTTCCGTGGAGTTCCATGAGGTGCCCAGTTTCCTGGAGGCTCTATGTGCTGGGATGTGAAAGCAGCAGCAGGGGTGCCGAGAAGAATAGTGACCCCTATTTCTTCAGTAGCTGTAACCAAGCAATTTTATCATCCCAGGAACAGGGCATTAGTTATTCCCTCTCACTTCTGTCCTCTTTTCCTATGCTGAGTTCCCTCTTTTTCAGTCTTCAGAAAGAAGGAGATGGTGTAGGTCTTGGGGGGTATCCTGCGAGTTTGGTTTAGGACCACTAGAGATGAGTCTACCAGGACACCCCAAAGCTGTTTAGAGTCTCCTTTCTGCACTGTGAGCCACCAGAACTGCCAGGTCCTAGGCCTCCAGGGCTCCTGGCTGGTCTTTCTTCTTCTGTTACTGCTGTTGTGTACTGTCAAGTCAGAATCGACCCATAGCTGACCCTTCAGCAGTTTTTCAGAGATAGTAAATCACACTCAAGGAGATTGCCCATCCTTCTTTCAAGGAACAGCTAGTGGATTTGAACTGTGTGCTTTTGGGATTGTAGCACAGTTTCTTACCATTAGGCTACCAGAGCTCCTTATTATTATTATTATTTTTTCCTTCTAACAGCTTTCTGGAGATGTAGTTAATATGTTGTACAACTCCCTCGCCCAAACAATCAATGGTGGTTTTTTTCTTAAATTTTTTCTACTAGTTTAGTTACAAAACTCAAATACAAATTCGAACAAATTCTTTCAATTTCCCTCACCCCCTCCATCAAATTGTACAACCCAATGATTAATCCCCTCCTCCCCCTGCACATCCACATCCCTCTGCTTCCAGCCTCTCCCGCCCCTCCTGGATCCTTATACTCATTCACACTAACAGTTTTATACAATATTTATCCTTGTGGTTCTGAGTTAGTTCACTCAACATAATGCTCTCCAGTCCCTCCCAAGTTAGGTAATAATCTATATTGCTTTGCATACAAAATTCATATACATTGGGTTTCACACATTCCTTCATTCACATTGTGCTTCATACAAGCATTCCCATACATTGTGTTTTATAAAAATAATCACCATTGATCCATGCCAGCCATGACAATGTCTTCTTTCCTCGCTGTAGTCAACTTTAGGACAGTGTCATCACCCTTAGAAAGCCCAATGCTTTAGCTCCAAATTCCTAACCTCTGTATCCTCCTCTCCCTAAATACCTGTGTTTTTTGGTTTTTGTTTGTTTGTTTTTTAAAAAATCTCTCTTGCTATGTTTTAGGCCAAGAGAGATCCATCAACACCACTGGGATCATACTGATCCGCAATGGCTCCTTGGTCTCAGCCAGCTTTGATGGGACAGTGGCCATCACAGTGATCGCGCTCTCCAACCTCCTCCATGCCTCCTCCAGCCTTCCAGAGGAGTATCAGAATCACACAGAGGGCCTCCTGGGTAAGACATGGACTAGACTCTGCTTCTGTGGCAAGAGCCCAACCATCCTGATGGAATGACCTGTGGACATCCCAAGTGACTTCCTTCCCTACCCCTCTTGAACCTTCAGGGCATAAAGCGGGCCAAGAGGAAAGGAGAGACTTCTCTCAACTCTCTGTGTGACCCACTCCCTGTCCTCCTCCTCCATTCTAGGTTCCAGGGCAGCCAAGGGAGCAACCAGAAAGGGAATCTGGGGAGGGTGGAGACATGGTTATGGCCCTCTCCCCTCTCCCCTCTCCCCTCTAGAAAGAGGACTAAACTAATTGAAAGAGGCATCTCAGGGTCCTCCTACTCCTACCCTCTTGACTATGACAAATTAGGTTGTTTCTAAGAAAGAAGGAAAGCACAATCCTATGGTGACCAGCCTCTCTCTGTGTCCTCCAGGGGTCTGGAATGGTGATCCAAATGACGACTTCAAGATGCCCAATGGCTCCACCATTCCCCCCGGGAGCTCTGAGGAGAAGATTTTTCACTATGGAATGACCTGTAAGTCTGGACCTGAGCCCTCAGAACAGATGGGGCAGTGCAGGGTGATGCCTGTGCACTTTATAAGGGTTGGGTGGGAAGATAGGAGGAGACTCTGAAGAGTCTGATGCCACCTCAGATTTGCCCTATTTCATTCCATCTGAATCTCTCTACTTGGGAGATGAGATGGAGAACTTGGATGCCCCTCCGACTGAACAGAGATCTCTGGGCCAAAACCTGACCATCATTCTGTCCCTCCACACCTCTGCCCCCTGTCCCAAGTATATAAAGAGAGGATAATAAGTAAACATGGGGAAAGTACAACTGGAACCATTCCCCGGGCACTGTCACTGTCATACTTCATGTGTTATAGGGCAAATCAATGGAACAAGTCTCCTTGGAGAGAGGAAAGATGAATTGCCTTCCAATTTCACTCCCGTCTTCCTTGAACAATTGAGAAACAGCTCCTCGGATCAAAATGTGGCCACGTGTAAAGGAGATTTACAGTGCATCTTTGACACTCTGGCCACGAAGAACACAAGCACTGGGCTGCATACACAGATGCTCCGAAGACGTTTCCAGGACATTAACAGCACCCTCAGTAAGTGACAGCTGATCCGGAGAGTCAGGGAGCACATCAGGAGCCTTCCCCACATGACACCCCCCTTTTTTCCCCATTCACTTAACAGATTCTTTTTTTCTTTTTAATTTCTATTTGATATTGGTTTGCATACAAAGTTCACACACATTGTGGTTCACACTATCCTTCATTCATATTGTGTTTCATACAATCATTCCTATTCATTATATTTTATAAAATTAATTACTATTGAACTATGCCCACCATTAGGTCGCCCTTCCACATCCCGACGAGATCCTTTTCATTTCCTTTATATCTCCCTCCCTCCATCCACCAAATTGTGCAACCCTATCATTTCCCCCCTGCCCATTCTTACCCCTCTGCTCCTATCTTTCCCCCCTTTGGGTCCCCATACCCATTTCAGTAGCTATGCTTCTGTTTTTACAATGGTCTTTTGCAGTATTTACCCTTATGAGACTGAGTTCACTCAGCATAATGCCCTCCAGTATCTCAACTTATATAGTAATTTTTTAAATGATTGCTCCTGCATGCTGCGTAGTATTCCAATAGGTGAATGAATGCACCCCAATTTCTCAATTCATTTGATAGTGGTTGGACATTTGGGCTGTTTCCATGTTCATGCAATTGTGAATAATGGTACATGAACAATCATACTATAAACATTGGTATACATCTATTTTCTCAGTTCTATTTTTCTCTGGGTATATTCCTAGCAGTGGAATAGTTGGGTCATAAGGAATTTCTATGTTCAGCTTTTTGAGGAAGCGCCAAACTGCCTTCCAAGGTGGTTGTACCACTTTATAATTCCACCAACAGTGTATAAGAGTTCCTATCTCTCCCAGTCCTCTCCAATATTTATTGCTTGCTGTCCTGTTAAACTTTGCCACTGCTACTGGGGTGAGATGCTATCTCATGGTGAGTTTGAATTGCATCTCTCTTATTATCAGTAATTTTGAGCATTTCTTCATGTGTCTGTTGGCCATTTGAAGGTCTTCCTCTTTGAAAACTCTTTCCATATCTTTTCCCCATTTTGTAACTGAGTTATTATGGAGGTTTTTTCCCTTGTGAAGGACTTGTAGCATCCTTAACAGATTCTTTTGCTTTTGTAGTTCCTTTGCCCAATATGTCTCAATGACTTCCTAGCTCGTTTAGTCCTCATGATGACTTTCAAAACTCTATCGATGCTTGTCAAGAGCTCTGAAGGTGGAATGTGTTAAGCGTTGGGCTGCTAATGGAAAGGCTGGTGGTTCAAATACACCAGCTGAAGGAAGATGAGGCACTTCTCCTCTGCCTAACAGGGTGACTGTGCATCAGAATTCCATGGAGATGGGGCTCTCTGAACTGCTCTCCTGCTCTCCCCCACACCTTCACTTCATTCCAACTCCACTGGCTTCTTTGCTGTGTTCTTCAAACACATCAGGCTCACTCTCAACTCCAAACTCATGCACTTGATGTTCTCTTTTCCAGAATGCTCTTCCCCCGTTTCCTCACCTCCTTTACGTCTTTATTCAAACATCACCTTCTCAACTCTTCCTGGCTACTCTAGCCAACATTTATTTCATACTCACCTGCCCTATCTATGCACCTCTCTGACTTTACTTTTTCCTGCTTCATATTTATATCTAATCTTTCAATAATTTTCATATATTGCTTTTTAATTCTTTCTCTCTTCCTGTAAGACCACTAAAAGCAAGGCAGAGGTTTTGTCTATTTTGTCGTTGATTGTAGCTTCACTACCTAGAACAGTGCCAATCACATGGTAAATTTAAAAAAAATAATTTGTCCGATAATGAATGAATGTACAAATAACGAAATGGAAATGGTAGGGCACCATAAATGGAGACCAGCTAAAAGCTGTTTACTTCCTCTTTGTCCCCTAACAAAGTCTATGTCCATCTGAGTATTAACCCCATGGATAGACTGACTCTGCTGCTTGGGATGACCTCGCGCTTTGATTCACTTTATGCTACATTTAGCATAGCACCTTGTTCAGAAGGAGATCAAAAAGAAGGTTAACCAGAATCCCTGTGAATGAATGTTCATTGAAACTAATAAAATTTAATAATAATTAAAAAAAAAGGAAGGTTAAGGTTTGACCCACTGAACAAGTCAACCCCAGCCTGCCATGTAGAGCAGGTACAGGAAAGAAATCCCTGTTCCTGGAGGTGGGTTACAGGCCTGGGAAGGCCTCACACAAATCAAAGGATTAGAGAAAGTAAAGACAAATTAAGCTGGTAAGTAAGAAGTGTCCTGCTTCAGAGTCTCCCTTTTGTGTTTCAGATGAGAACCCGCCCACCATCGAGGGTGATGAGGTGGTTAGGGGTTACAAGGGGCAGACCAACTGGTTCCACTACAAGAGCAGCTCTGAAAATGTCACATTTTCACTCAGAAGTAACTCTACCGACTTCAAACTCTTTGGTAAGAATGTTTGCCTGGGGAAGTAGGGGATGAGGTCAGAGCAAAGCTTTGGTCAGTTTTACATCTGTATATCCTACAGGGGAGCTCTGGTGGCCTAGTTGTTAGGAGTTGTGCAAACCCAAAGGCAGGAGATTTGAATCCACCAGCTGCTCCGTGGGAGAAGGATGGGCAACATCCTCCTGTGTGATGGATGAACAGCCTCTGAAAACCCGCTGGAGGCTCAGCTCTGATTCAGTTCTGACTTGATAGCACATAACAACAATAGAATATCTTATAAAGTTCCTGCCACTTATCTGATAAGCAGAGTCAGCACTTTTTGGGAATGATTGATTCCTATCATTCAAGTAGATGCCCTTACCCCTGCCCTCCCGGTGAAAAGTAGTGATGGTTTTGTGCTGCTTTTGTCAACTAGTTAGGTTTACTCTGGACACGTACAACTAATTTAAAGACCATTTATTCTCATATAATAACAAGATCTTTATGCTATTACCATATTACTAAGATAATCAAGTACAATAAGAAGTGAACGCTGACTTAAAACATCTTCATATCAATTTAGAGAATAAAACATGAGCATTTAAAGAAATGCCAGTGATAATTTCCTCACTACTTTTGTGTGTTTCTTAACCATTTGTACACAGCTTTGTTTTTCCTCGTCTAACTTTCTGTGCTGGCGCTGATCAAAGCTCCATCTCTCCCTGTCAGTTATGATATCAGGGATCCCCAGGCCTGCACCCATGATCTGCACCACAGAGTCAGAGCTCAAGGGTGCAGCTTGCTCCCTGTTGTCGTCATCAATTATACTAGTCACTGTTTTATGCTAAACAAAACCATTATGTAACCTTATTCTGAATTCTGATTGCCTCTCGGCTCTGTGCACAAGGGATTATCTGTATCCTTCCTGCTCCGCGTGACATGCTATCAATGAAAGATAATAGCATCAAGAGAAATATATAGGTTTCCCTCCCCCATCCCTAGATTCTATTCCAGGGAGCTCTAGTGCCCTAGTGGCAAGAAGCTGCTCTGCCATCCCAAAGGCATACAGTTCAAGGACACCAGCTACTCCATGCAAGAAAGATGGGCAGTCTCCCTGGTGTGATTAACTGCCTCTGAAAACCCACTGGAGGGTCAGCTATGGGTCATTTACAACTTGTCGGTACACAACAACAAGGTTCTATTCAAGAAGAGTGATGCTTTCCCCAACAATAAAAATTTTTACCTTTTTCAAATACATGCTAAATTCTTATGTAATTTGAATCTCTTTACTCTCTCTATGGAATATTAAACTCTAGCTTGTTCTGAGAATAAATTAATTTTTCCTTTTTTAAGTAATTAAAAATTGTTGTTGTTGTTATGTGCTGTCCAGTCACCTGCGACTCATAGCAACCTATGTACAACAGCCCTAAACCCTGCTCTATCCTGTGCCAATCTCACTGTCACACTCACCCTCATTACCCCAGTCACTGAATCAATCCATCTCACAGAGAGTCTTCCTCTCCTGTGTTGTCCTTCCACCCTCCTGAGCATGACATCCTTCTCCAAGGACTGGTCCCTCCTTGCAGCATGTCCAAAGTATGTCAGACGAAGCTTCAGAATCCTTGCCTCCAAGGAGCAGCTTGGTTTAACCCTCTCTAGGATGATTAGTTTGATCTTATTAATTGGTTAAAAATAGGGTCTATGAATTTCTTGTTGTTGTTGTTGTTGTTATTGTTGATTGTCATTGAGTTGAGCACGACTCATAGTGACCTTATGAACAAAAGGCCTGAAGCCTTTCTATAACTATTGACATCTATCAAAGTTCATAGTTTCCAGAGGCATTTTAATTTTACATATTTTATTATTTTTGTTGCTTTAATAAATGGGATATTTCCTTCTTAAAAAAAAAAGAAGCGTGATGCTGTTGATATTGTTATTAGATGTCGTACTCTCAACTCAAGCTCAACGTGACCCTATGTACATACAACAGATTAAAATCTTACCCAATCCTGCACCATCTGCACCAGCTCCACTCTGCTTAAGCCCATTGTTGTAGTCACTGCGTCAGTGTATCTCATGGAGGAGATGGCCTCCTTCTCTGACAGCCTACCTTTCCAAGCATGATATCCTCTTCCAAGGCTTGGCTCCTTCTCATAACATGCCCAGAGTATTCTCATCTACTCCCTGATAGTAATTCCTTTCAAATTGCTATTTTAAGGAAGCTTTACAATTTTCTTTAGATGTGTAATATCGGTTTGATGGTTGTTAATTCCCATCAAGTTGGAACTGACCCACAGCTGACCCTCCAGGAGGTTTTCAGAGGCTCTAAATCACACACGAGGAGATTGTCCATCTTTCTGCCTTGGAACAGTGGGTGGATTTGAAATGCCTGCCTTCAGGTTGGCAATGATGCTTTCTATCCACTAGGCCACCAGAGTTCCCTATGGCTTAATTTAAAGGGCAGATATGTATATATGGTGAGCTCTGGTGGCCTAATGGCAAGAAGCTGTACTGTAATCCCAAAGGCATGCAGTTCGAATCCCATCAGCTGCTCAGTAGCAATTAGCTGATCAGAGGGTCAGCTATGGATTGGCTCCAACTAGACAGTACATAACAGCAAATAATATGTCTATACACCTATAAGTCTATCTAGTGTATCTATATACAGAATATGTATTTAAAAATATATTAATTACATAGAGAGTGGGTGTATATTATATACCGATTATAGGTGGATTACATATACTGATTTTATATGAGTTACACACACAAACACACACACACACTCATAATTCAGGCTGAGGCAAAGTTGCCTCTTCAGGGGATCTATCTTCTCCTCTGTTTAATTCCATCCTATAAGCAATAAGCTGGGTCTAGGATCACGCTAAAAAGACAGTCTTGCTCAAGGAAACACCTGATGAGATCTGGGGGTGGCCTGAGCAGGACTATGGTAAGTCCAGCATCTGCAGTCAGCATATTAAATTAGCATATAACCAGCTCCAGTGGTAGAGCAAAGATTTTCTGACTCCCATTGTTCTTGTCTTGCCTGGGGCAGAGAACGGCACACTGCGGTGGACACCAACGTCACTGGAACCATTCAGTCTAGAGATTCTAGCAAGAAATACCAAGAATGACTTGTCAGCTGCATTGCACCTCGACCCTGTGGCCTGCTTCTGTAGCGCAAAGAGCCAGTGTGTGTACAACCAGACCACGAGGGTGAGCAACTCTTCCCTCCAGGTGAGTACTGGGAGGAAGGGGAAGCTCTCAGAATATAAAAAACCAAATATCAATCAATTACTCTAGCCTTCCCAAAATATCTGCTTTTAGGAGTAGAAAGCCGAATTCTGGAGATTTCTATTTTAGGGGGAAAAAATAACGATGGAAAAGATTCTGTAACTCAGCCTTTCCTGGGTAATGAGTGTGTTGGAGGTAGGGCATGGCTGTAGGGAGAGAATAGAGAGGATCCTCATCTCAGGCACACACTCTCTGGTGTGAGAAATATGTTGTTGATTGCTGTCGAGTCGAGTACAACTCATAGCAACCCTAGGAACAAAAGGAGTGAAGCCTTTCTATAACTATCGTCATTTATCGAAGTTCATAGTTTCCAGAGGCATGTTGTTTAGGAAGTGGATGCCACACCTGCTTCCAGTGAGAAATATAACTTTCTGATTTATAGCTGAACCTTATTTTTACCTCCACGTCCCTTTGTATCAAGCTGGAAGGGAACTTCCAGTCATTCTTAGAACTCCCTGATTGTTCTAAGCTCCACAGTTCAGGGGTCCTACCCAGTGCACAGCGCTGAGGTGCAGGGCAGAAAGTTGACCATGTGTCTCTGGGGCGTGTGTCTACATGGGGTCCATCAAGAGAAGCCTAGGGAGGCGGTCTACTGCTTTGGCACTGCCTTCCTCAGACACCAGTTCAGTCCCATCTGCCTAGAAGCCCCACCTGACCATTTCTGTTGGACCTTCAAGATGTCAGGAAGAGAGCTGCAGATCCCTTCTGACTTTTGACCCCCCAAATAGATTTCATTCTCTTTTTCCTGCCCTCCTCCAGCTAAGAGCAGCATCTCTTTTCTAGTTTGGAGGAAATCATTCTCTATTCAAATTTCTAGACAATACATTTGGCCTAAGCACAAATCCTGTCCCATCGGCCTTTGTTTATTGATTACAAATGAGGAGCCAAGAAGGAAAGTGTTTGGTTGGCAAAAGCCTAACAGCTCCAACAACACACAACCCCCCTGATGCATGAGCAGAGCATTGCTACTTGAAAATTGTAAAAGTAAAAAAAAAAAAAAAAAATAAAGAAAACGGTAAAAGTAGGAAATGCTGTGGAGAAGAAAAGGGAAAAAATACAGCATAGGACTGATAGAAGTTAAAATCAACGTATTAATCTAAATTTCCCAAAATTTTCCTTTTTGGAAGTAGAAATCTAAGGGCCGGAAGATTCCATTTTAGGGTGAGTTCCAAACTTAGTTCAGTAGGAAAATAAAATTTTTTTTAAAAAAAGAAAGATGAATATGGGGATATGCTGAGATTCTCCCTGTCGACTGTTCCCAGGGGGTTTTCCCTGTTCTGCGTGCCCTGGGATTCTGTATCTTCACTTGAGAATCAACAAGAACTGGGGTGAGACAGAAAAGACTGGGGTCGAGTGAGAAAATTATAGCTTAAATGGGATTTCTTTTCTAAAGATAGTAGGATACATATGTAGGTATGTCTCTGTGTGTGTGTGTGTGTGTGTGTGTGTGTGTGTGTGTGTGTGTATTTATATGAATGTAGATTCTGTCTTACTCTAGAAAGGATTTCAGGCAAAGAAGATCTAATATGAGTGGAACAGTTATCAAGAGATAGAGAAGATGACTGAAGCCCTGATGCCCGAGCCAGACAGAGGGAGTGTGGGCAAAGAATGGCTCAGGGAGTCTGAATGGCAGAGGGCTGTGTGTCCTATGACGCAGGGACTTGCAGGTCCAGGGCTTGTTGGAAGTGCTCCATGCGTGCTGACTGAGCTGAGACAAGGACCCAGAGGGTCAGTAGCAGGACACCCACTCAGTCTCCTATAAGCCCAGAGGCCACCTCCCCTGTCCATTCCAGGTGGCTGAACACTCAGCAGCTCTGAGCTCTTGGGGCTCAGTCCCCTGCAGGCCCAGTGACCAGCTTCCCTGTCCATTCCAGGTGGCTGACTGCAAGTGTGACGAGGGCACCTTTGGTCCCAAGTGTGAACGCCGCAGGGACCCCTGTGAGCAGTGCTTCCCGGGTGTACACTGCACTGCGGAGACGGGCTGCGGGGCCTGCCCCCCAGACATGACTGGGGATGGGCATCACTGTGCAGGTGAGCTGTGCACAGGGCCCAGCTTCCAGGGATCATATCATCTTCAGGGCCCAGGACAGCCAAAAAAACAAACCTGCTCCTAGCATATCTCTAGAATGTTCAATACAGGTGGCTGATAAGAAGGGCTTGGGAAAGGATGATAGGATTGCTGAAGAAAAGCCAGGACAAAAAGACTGAGGAGGGGCTATCCTGCAGGGCCACTGAGCCAGAGGCGAGGTGAGCCCTTAGGCTCAGGGGTTTCCACATCTTAGAAGTCAGCCTAGGCTGCCACAGAGGTTGGGTAGCTGGAGTGCCTCAATTTCCTTTCAGCTCCCCCTCCCAGGCTTCTCAAATAAAATCTAGAGACTGCTTTGTCTTCTGTGGGGAGCTAGATGGGTTGAATCACAGGTTATCAAGGCAGAAAAGGAGATAGAAGTAAGGGAGTGAGGAGACCAGGCTGGTAGGTCCTCCTCCCACCAGCTCCTGGGTCATTTCCTGATGTGAAGAGTCGTAAACACTTCTGCACACTTGGAGAAAAGCTACTTGGAAGAAGAAAATAGGTTAGCAGGTAGTAAAATGTCTGGAGAAAGAGCAAAGGATAATTTAGGGTTTAGAGTAGCCCACAAACGGAATTACATTGAGTGGGTGTGGGAGAAAGAAGGGAGGTGGTTTGTGGGGTTTTTTTTTGGTTTTTTCAATGAGCAGCTTTGCATGGGCTGGAGCCGCCATCCCTCATTCCCCTCTGGTGTGGCTGACCACCCGCTCCCTCTGCAGCTCAGGAGTATACTATCCACTGTCAGAACAAGTCCTGCCCTGTCAATTACTGCTACAACCATGGCCACTGCTACATCGCCAAGACTGAAGACTGCAAGCCCACCTGCTTATGCCCCCCAGCCTTCACAGACAACCGTTGCTTCCTGGCTGGAAACAATTTCACCCCTACCGTCATTCGAGGTACAACAAAATGCCCCCCACCATATTTATTGTCACACTTCTCTTACCTTTGAGAAAGATGGGGAAAGTATGAGTCCGGTTTAAAGCCTCGGATTCATGGTGCTGAACTCTAAATTCCTCTCACACCAGCTACAGTGGAGTCAGCTCTACCTCCTGGTGACCCATGGGTTCCACAGTATTTCCAATGGCTGGTTGTTCAGAGGTAGATCATTAGGCTTTTCTTCTAGGGCCCCTCTAGGTGAACTTGAACTTCTACTTCTGAATTGTCAGCCATGCATGAAAATTATTTGGACCACTGATAACAAACTGTAGGCTACAGGAGCTGGTGGTAGCAGCTGTCAAGACTTGAACTTCTGTCTTGTTCATTTTGCTGAGGATGGCATGACAGACACTGCCGCCCCAGGAGATGAGAGTCACAGCATAAGTGCTAGGGTGGCCAGGAAGCATGACCGCATCTCCTTATTCCTGCAGTGACCTCTTGAACAATGAGACATAGTCTCCCTGGACTGGAATCTGAGGGAGAGGCTGGGGAAATCCATGATGTGCTTATGAATTTGCTTTTTCTTTCTCCAGAGTTTCCCGTCAGAATCATCGAGCTCTTGCTCAGTGAAGAACAAAATGCCACTACTGCAGACGTCAATGCATCGGTCAGTGTTGCAGGCCAGGCTGGGCAGGGGCAGTGGTTCCGGCAGCCTCGGGGCTAAGGCTGAGCCATCAGCTGTGTCCTGCAGTTTCCTCACCCATCCAGATTCATCCATCTAGCTCTCACCGCAGGGCATGCTGGCTGGGGAAACCTTAGAACGTGAACCTCAGAAGGGGTTGGAATGAGTAACTCATCATGAGCAGAGTAAAGGGTGGCCAAGTCACCCCAATGCCCCTCTCTGAGGGTCCCTGGAGCTCTGTACTCCTTGGTATTATGTGAAAGAAACACTAGGGACATACTACCTCCTGGAGACCTTCCTCAGTTCTCAAAGAGGACTGCAGACCTCTAAGCTGCATGCCCTTGTCCACATCTCAGTCGTAAACCATGAAACATAGTTAAGAGTGTGAACTCTAGAATCCTACACACCCACATTCAATTCCCTTCTCTATCACTTAATAGAGGTGTGACCTTAAAAACAGATGCCTAATTTAATTAAATTACTATTATTATATTATTGCTAATAGTAGTACCTATGTTAGCTCTGGTGGCCTCGTGAATAAGGAGTTGAGCTGTCAAATCAAAAGCAGGCAGTTTGAATCTACCAGCTGCTCCTCAGGAAAAAGATGGGCAATGCCCTTCTGCACAACTTAGAGCCTTTGAAAACCTGCTGGAAGGTCAGCCCCAACTCAATGAGTGAATGAGATATTAATGAACTGTGTCAATAGTTAAATGATAATGTAGTATATAAAGCACTTGAGTCACAGGCAACTTGATGGCACATAACAACAACAAGATAAAGCCCTTAGCATGGTGCCAAGAACACAATAATAAACCCATAGTAATAGTAGAGATGGCGCAGGGTTTAGGGCTGTTGTACATAGGGTTGCTATGAGTCACAAGGGACTCGAAGGCACATAACAACAACAAGAACATTATTATATTATAATTTATACTAATATTTTATTACTAATATTATTTAAAAAGAAAAATTTGCTATTCTACATTATAATTTATGATATTATATTACTAATATTCTAGATAATACTATTCTTTTGAGTACTTAAGGTGTTCCTGGCACTATAGTAAGTGCTTTACATGCATTATCCTTTAAACTTTGACATGGCCCATTAACACAAGAATTATTACTAACCCTAAAAACCTGGTACAACTATTTCTCCTAACCCTGATAGAGCTCTGATAGCATAGCCCATCATAGGGAGTTGCACTGCTAACCCAAAGACCCAACCCCTCTGGCAGTTCAAGTCCAACAGAGACTGCTAGGAAGACAAGGTAGAGGCCATTCATCTCAGGTTCTCCTCCTTCTAATAAATATAAGGCAGAAGTGAGAACAAAGGACTTTAAGACCTTCACTCACCAACAAATACTTACTAAGCCGGAAAGCACACCCATCATCACTGAGTGAAGTTAGGATGTAAAAATACAGCAATGAGTGAAGGAGGTTCTGGGGGTCCAGGGCTCACTCTTAAAGAAGAAAACAGGCTTTAATGAATAAGTGCATCAGACTGGTGAGGAGTCTCGCACAGCATCCCCCACTGTCCCTCCTAGGTGGCACACAGACTGAGTAACCTGATCGTGCAAGCCTTTTCCAGGAACAGCATGGTGATGCAAAGGTAAATGGGGTGGGGCTGTCTCTGACTGAACCCCTGGTCTTTCCCTTTGCCCCCATCATTTTTCCTTACTGTCCACTGCCCTGCTCAGGTATTTCCCCACTTCAGCGTCAGACAGCTCCCTTCGCCACTGGCGAGTCATCTCTGAGTTCCAGTACCGCCCTGTGGGCCCTGTCATCGACTTCCTGAACAACCAGCTCATGGACGCTGTGGTGGAGGCCTTCTTACCTCAGGCCCTGCGGCTGCGGCGCAGTGATGAGCCCCGGAAAGATGTGGTCTTCTATCCCATCTCCAGAGGAGATGTGAGGAGCCTAGAGCTCGGTGAATACAGGAGTTAAACGGAGGGTGGGGGGAGCAGAGCCAGAGGAAGCTTGTCACAGATTTATCTTCAGCCCATAGCCCCTCTTCCTAGGAAACCCCACATGCAAACTGTTGCTGTGTACTGTGGAGTTAGAACCAATCCATAGCTGACCTTCCAGCGGGTTTTCAGAGGCAATAAATCACACAGGAATTTATGCAGCAGAGCAGCTGGTGGATTTGAACTGCATGTCTTTGTATTGGCAGTGGAACCTCTTACCACTAAGCCACCAGAGCACCCTACGGAGGGCCCCCTATAGTATGCAACAAATTTTACCTTTGCTGTTGTTGTTGTTGGGTTTGTAGATAAATTTACCCAACAGAATATTAGATTGAAGAGCAAGAGCACAAAATGCTACATGATCAATCCATGGGAGAAGAGTTTCATTGGACAATTATTCCAGTGAGGTCTTCCTAACTCTGCAAATTATTTTCTTCTCTTTATAGCATTGCAAATGATTTTCTTAAAATACTATATGCTGTTGTGTACCATAGAGTTGGAACTAACTCATAGCTCACCCTCCAGCAGGTTTTCAGAGGCAGTTAACATCATGGGAGAAGATTGGTCATCTCTCTCCTACAGAAAAACTGGTGGCCTTAACCCTTATGCCTTCAGAATTGCAGTGCAGTTTCTTGCCCGTAGGCCATCACAACTCCATAAAATACTGTTTATAAAAATAAACAGAGGAGTGCCCAATGCCTCTCTTCCCAGGTGGAGGATATTAAGTTGAAGGATTGAGGCCTGGCCTAGGAGCAGAGATAAACTTATGACCTTGCACAAGGCTCTTGCCTCAACAGCCTCATCTGGAAAATGTATTGTGATTTCAGAGGTTCTCAGCAATGACAGACCCTGAGTCTCCTCACACAGGGTTGAGGGTTGAGGTAAATGATTAAGCTGGCCTGAGAGGGGGAGGAAACCCACTACCATTGAGCAGATTCTTATTCTAATTGACTGGAACAGGACAGTGATCTTTCCAAATACAGCACAAGTTGCTGTCTTATTTTAATTCTAGGCCAAGCAAACGTTTCTAGACCCAAGTTAAGCCTTCCATCTTCAGTGGGCAACAATGTGAAATTTTTCAAAAGGTGTGTGTGTGTGTGTGTGTGTGTTTGGGGCAGTAAGGGTTAAGGAGAGAAAGTGTTAAAGAAACAACAAACCTACCTGCCGCACTATGTGTTTCTGTTGAAGAAAACTAGACAAATCCGCAATTGTTTCTATAAATATGTTTATTATAGAAAGTTTAGAAAACACATGTTAGCAAACAGAAGAGAGTGAGAGAATCCCGGATAAGCCTAGTGCCCAGAAACAACTCTATTTTGTATAATTCCTTCTGAACTTCCTTTTTTGCATGAGAGCCTTCACATATACAAGGGGATTTTTAAACAAAAAAAGGATCAAATTGTACTGTATGTTTGCCAATTTCTTCATTAGTTAAGTGTGAACAAACTACCTTATATAAAAAAACAAACAAAAATCCCCTTTTCTGTTGCGTCTATATTCCTACTTAATATTTTATAATGATGTTTTTATATATTTTATTATAATAATAGAAAAAGCCCAACTCATTGCCATGGAATCAGAGCAGACTCTGATTCTGGGTTTTCAGAGGCTGTAGTCACACTGGAGGAAATTGCCCATCTTTTTCTCTTGGAGTGATCGGTGAATTCAAACCACTGCCTTTGGGTTAGCAGCACAACTCTTAATCCATTAGGCCACCAGAGCTCCTTGTTATAATAATAGTTACTGTGTGTTGAGTGCTTGCTCTGATGGTGCAGTCTGTAGCATGTTGTGCTGCTAACCAATAGGCCTAGTGCTCTTTTTTGTTCTTATGTGCCTTTGAGTCAACTACAACTTATAGCCACTCTAAGCACAATAGCTCTGAATCATGCTTTATCCTTAGCCAATCTCTCTGTCTCCAACATACTTGTCCCTATTACCCCAGTTACTGTATTAATCTTTCTCATTCAGGGTCTTCCTCTCTTACACTGACCCTCCATCCTTCCAAACATGATGTCCTTCTCCAAGGACTGGTCTCTCCTGGAAATATGTCCTAAGTATGTGCGACAGAGTCTTAAAATCCTCGCCTCCAAGGAGCACCTTAGCTTCACCCTCTCCAGGACAGACCTAATTGTTCTCTTGGCAGTCCATAGTATATTCAAAACTCTTCTCCAGCACCACATCTAGTGAGTCTAATTCACCACAGCTCTTTAGGAGAAAGATGAGAAATTGTCTAGGCAGATTTATTCTCAAAAACCAGTGAAAAGTTGCTGTATGTCAAAAGTGAGTGGATTACTATGAGGTTTTGAGTTTGTATGCTGACCGTGTTTCGAGCACTATACCAGATACACTGGATATAGTCACTAAATTTCACAGCAAGGTAAGTACTATTATGGTTCTCTTTTAAAGATAAGGAAACTGAAAGAGCTAAAGAATTTTCCCACACACCACACAACCAGTTAGTTTTTGTGGTTTTTTTTTTAAATTTCATTTCCAAATAACCACAAACTCACTGCAGAAAATTCAGAAGCTACAAAAAGGAGCAATGCAAAAGAAAATCCAATCTTCCAAATAGTGAATTATTTTGATGTCTATGTTTTACAAGATTTTTTCCATAAATGTTTAAAAATTTTTTCTAGACCTTATAAACTGCTTTGGAGCCAAATGTTTCCTTTTATGTATCATAAATACTATTGTGTTTTTAATGCTGCTGCTGCTGCTGCTGCTGCTGCTGCTGCTGTTGTTGTTGTTACGTGCCATTGAGTCGCTTGCAACTCATAGCAACCCTATGTACAAGAGCCCTAAATGCTGCTCTCCTTTGCCAACCTCACTGTCTCTGACACACTCACTCCTACCACACCAATCACAGAATTGATCCATCTCATTGAAGGTCTTCCTCTCCTGTGCTGTCCCTCCACTCTCCCAAACATGATGTCTCTTTCCAAGGACCAGTCCCTTCTTGCAACATGCCCAAATTATGTCAGACAAAGCTTCAGAGTCTTTGACTCCAAGGAGCACTCTGGCTTCACCCTCTCCAGGACAAACCTGTTTGTTCTCCCAGCAGTCCATAGTATATTCAACATTCTTCTCCAGCACCACAGCTCAAAGACATCAATTCTCTTTCTATTGCTTATGTGATTGAGGCGGTGGGAGTGAGTATGTTGGAGACGGTGAGGTTGGCATAGGATAGAGCAGGGTTTAGGGCTCTTGTACATAGGGTCACTATGAGTCACAAGTGACTTGACAGCACAACGACAACAACAACAACATGTTGTAATATATTTAAATAATTTTAAAGTATTACAAAGAGGTCTGTCCTGGAGGTGAAACCAGGCTGCTCCTTGGAGGCAAGGATTTTGAGACTCCATTCCTCATATTTTGGGAATGTTGCCAGGAGGGACCAGTCTTTGGAGAGAGACATCATTCTTGGAAGGGTGAAAGGTAAGTGCAAGAGAAGAAGACCCTGGATGAAATGGATTGACTCGGTAACTGTGGCGGTGGGGGCAGGTATGTCAGAGATGGGGAAGTTACTCAGGACAGTGCAGGATTCAGAGCTATTATTCATAGGGTCACTATGAGTCATAGTCAGCACCATGGCACATAACAACTCTAATTCAAAAAAATATGCCCACAATGGATAAAAGGTTATACATTTATTCAGAGATGTGATCACACTATATTTTGTGACACCTCACTCTTTAATGTAGCACATGAATTAAATAATGCATTTTCTGTTGCATAATAAATGAGTTTTAATTCTGATATACATTTTAATGGCTTCAAAGCACATGTTTTTAACCAGATACTTTCTATACGATTGCACAATATTCCTTTAGTAAAGATATATGATAACTTGTTGGAGGGTTTTCTTTTTGTTTGTTTCTTTTGTTTGTTTGGGTTTTTTTTGGCTTGAAGTTGTTTTATTACTTTTTCAATTTCTTTTTTTAAATTAATTTTAATGAACGTTTACAGAGACTTAGGGTTTCCAGTCATTCTTTGTTGCCCTTTTCTCCCTTCCCACCGCCTCTCAGTAACTTGTTTAATGAGGCCATTCCTGCTAAATATTAACTTTCTCTTTCTCCCATCCTACTTTTTCTTCTTTTCCATCATAAACTATATTAATCAGGACACTTTTGTGCACTTTGAAATTATGCCTAAGCAAACCCCTGAACATGAGCTCTGGTGGCTTAGTGGTAAGGAGTGGCGCTGCCAACCCAAGGGTAAGCAGTTTGAATCCACCAGCTGCTCTGAGGGAGAAAGATGGACAATATTCTCTAGTGCAAGTTACTGCCTCTGAAAACCTGCTGGGGGGATGGGGGGTGGGGTGGGATGTAGCTATGAATTGATTCCAATTCAACAGTACACAACAATAGACCCCTGAAAATGGAATTATTTATTCAAAAGGTATTACTTTGGTGTTAGTCAATTGATTTCATTGTTGGCCTGTGTCTTGCCTGGCAGTGAATGTGAGCACGTTGGAGACTTACCTCAAATGTGAGGGCTACAAGGGCTACTCTCTGGTCTACAGCCCCCAGAAGGGCTTCTCCTGTGTGTCCCCGTGCAGTGAGGGATACTGTAATCACGGAGGCCAATGCCAGCACCTGCCTGAAGGGCCCCACTGCAGGTGAGTGGGGTCTGGGGCCAAGATACACACAGACAGCGTGGGGGAAGCCAAGCTAGTGAGAGGACAGTTCAAGGGGGCCAGGAATGCCATAAGACCTCACAGTATGTGAAAAGTAGGCAGAGTCTCTTTGTAATTGAGGAATAGCAATTAGAGAAATGGGGACATTGGGAAAGATGTGAATGCCAAAGAATGGCGCCTAACAACTGCAACAATTCTGGTGAGAACTATACAACCAGCTCACTGCTGTCAAGTCCATGCTGACTCCTGACTCCGAGAGACCCTGGTAGCGTAGAGGGATTAAGTGTTGGGCTTCTAACTAGAAAGTTTGCTCTCGAACTCACTGAGGGGAAAGATGACAGTCTGCCCGCTTTACAAACAATGAGGCATCTCTCCTGGTTCTATGGAGTTGCCATAAGGAGAGGCTCTATGAGAACTCTATCACCCCTGCCACCAGCTGCAGGGTGAATATTATTAGGAGAATTTTTAAGATAAGAAAAATGCAGCTTAGAGGTGATAATTAAGCTGTCGCAGGGCATAAGGAAGTTAAGTAGTAGGTTCTGACTTCCAAAACCAGAAACCTTTCCCTTCTGTCTAACCTTTTCCTCTAATTTTGATTCTTTCATGGGCACTTCGCTGTCTCCTTGCGGGAGAGGAATCAACAGACTTGTGTTAGTCAGTCAGGAGAGGTCAATCTGAAACTGGGACCCCAGTTTGTTCTTCACAGTCTTAGGGTCCCCAGGAGGGGAGTACAGTAACTCTGCAGGCATTAGCACTCCTGGACTCACTCGGATGCCTTGTCCAGTCTAGCCTGAGAGCGCAGCCTGAGTCTATCTACCATGTCCCCACTGCCAGCCCAGATATCACCAAGCCAGCTCTCCGGGGACCCAGCCAAGTCAGCTCTCCGGGGACACAAGGGTTTTTCTGAGGGCGGGACCAGGCCTCTGGGGCGGGGCCATCAGTTTGGGGGCGTGTCCGGCCGTCAGAGGCGGGGCCAGTAGTCTGAAGGGGAGGGCCCTCCTCTCGGGGGCAGGGCCGGGAACCTGACTGCAAGTGAACTTATGATCACGCCTTTAAGGCCCCCCCCTTTACTGCTTTGTCAGTGCCGCCACTCCAGTTTGTCCTCAGGCTGGTTCTGGCCTCTAGCTAGCACTTACAGATGGGTTGCCTCTCTGCACCATAGAAGGAGAGTTGGGGAGGTTTGAGGGCGGGACTACAGCTGCTGACTGAACCGCTCTCTGTCTGCAGCTGTGTGTCCTTCTCCATCTACACGTCCTGGGGGGATCGCTGTGAGCACTTGAGCATGAAACTAGGCGCCTTCTTCGGAATCCTGTTCGGGGCCTTGAGCCTCCTCCTGCTGCTGGGGGTCGTGGTGTTTGTGGTCTTGCACTTCAAAAACTGCTTCGGGATCCAGAACTCCTACCCCCTGCACTCAGAGAGCTGAAGCCTCGCCCCGCACGGGACTGCTGTGGCCTGGAATGAATACCTCAGGACCACCCCGTCCTCACCTTTATACCTCCATGTGGCCTTGTCTGGGAGAGACTGCAAAAGGGAAGATGACTGAAGGCGATTTTAGCAGGATTCTTCAAGGGGAATGAATGGTGGCAATCAAGACTCGGCCACATTGTCCCAACAATACACAGAGACCAGGAAGACATAGGAAATAAATGGATGGGTTCTTTTCACTGGCGCACGCACACACACTCAAACCGTACACACCACATTGCGAGGTGATGGCTCTAAGCTAAAAACCAAAATGTTTTTGCACACACTCTCTTACTTACTTCTAATTAAAAGCTATTTAACTAACATCTTTCCTTTTGTGTCATAGATTCCATCTGTGCTTTTCCTCCAGTGGTACAATATGGGGCAGTGTTTCGTGGAAGTCACTCTTAAGTCAGAACTGACTAGACAGCATCTAATAACCACATCTGGCAACTGAAGGGCCAATCTTAAGGCTCTCTCTCACCATCAGCAGGCACAAGGTGTGAGGATTAAGTTTTGGACAGGTGGCAGAGATGGTCCCCTGGCCAGGGCGCACTTGCTGGCTATAGTCCTGCTTCAGCCTTCCGTTATTTCATTTTGGGAGGCATCCATTTCCCCAGCCCTGACTTGCCAAAGCCTCTATATCGCCTTGTCACCTCACTTACATACACCACGAAGTCCGGCTCTTTGACGAGGAGGACAGAAATAGTTCCCATTTGAGGACTCCAAACTCTTTCCCCAGAATCTCCATTGCCTTGCTGATCCCTGTCTATCAGTTTCACACACACACACACACACTCACAGAAGAGTAAATATATCTTAGCTTTCCTTGTTCTAGTTGCTGTCCCCAATGCCTGTGTTACTTGGAAAATGGATTGAACCACTTTTTTAGCTCCCTTCCCAGAGACCAACTATAAAAACATGCCTCTCGCCTCATCTTTAGATCTGGGGTTTTCAGTTCTTGGAACAATTTTTCTATCTCCTCCGGGAGAAGAAGACTTTCAACAAGATGAATTTTCACAGTGACTATAATAATGGGGTTGAGTATGTTGCAAAGAGTGAAGATAATGAAGAAGAGGGCAAGGTTCTGGTTAGTTATTCACAGGGTCACTATGAGTTTTAGTTGATTCAGTGACACAGCAACAACCTGGGTCTCAAATAGAGTTTTCTGAGATTCTCCTCCACCTCACATTCCCACAGCCCCATTTTCTCCCAGTAATTTGATCAGCTTCCATGTCATCCCTCTCTTTCAGGAGGCAAGACATTTACTCTTGTCTATCTACCCTCCCATTGCCTTTAACTTAATTCTGACTAGAGATTATTCTCCATCAGGTTTCAAAGACTATACATCTTTACAACAGAACAAGGCCTCTCTCTTTCCTGTGGAGCAGCTGATAGATTGAAACACCGGCCTGCTGGTCCACAGTACAACATGCAGTGCAGCAATTACAGACTTAACTCACTCATGCTGTCAAGTGGGAACCAGTTCACAGCTGAATTTCAATTAAGTTTCTGAGGCAGTTGTTCACATGGGAAGAGGTTGTCCATCTTTCTCCTGCAGAGTCACTGGTGGATTTAAAACATCACCTTTGAATTAGCAGTACAATTCACTATGAACTATGCCAGCAGATCTCCCCTTACACAGAGTGGGATGGGAAACAAAGAATGGGTGGTCACATTACTCTTACTCCTCACATTTGACAGCACCAAGACAAGCATATGTGACAAGAACTTTGCAATGTGACTCAAGGTCAGGAAAGAAAAGACATTCCTATTAAAGAAGGTCCAAAAGTTATACTAGTATCAGTCTCATCCTAAGCCACAGGAGGCCTATCTCTTGGCAAGAGACTCATGTAGTGTAAGATATATGATTTTCCAAAACAACGATGAGATATCATCTCACCCCAGTAACAATAGCAAAATTTAATACAGCAGCAAACAACAAATTCTGGCGAGGTTGTGAAGAAACTGGAACCCTTATTCACTGTTGGTGGGAGTGTAAAATGGTGCAACCACTATGGAAAGCAGTATGTTGCTTTTTCAAAAAGATGGAAATAGAAATACCATTTGACCCAGCAATTCCACTACTGGGAATATACCCTAAAGAAACCAGAACTGCCACCCAAACAGATATGTGCACACACATGTTTATTGCTGCTTTGTTCACAATAGCAAAGAGATGGAAATAACCCAAATGCCCATAAACAAATGAATGGATAGAGAAGCTATGGTATATTCACACAATGGACTACTATGCAGCACTGAAAAACAAGGAACTCATGAAATACTATACAAAATAGGTGACCCTGGAGAACATTATGCTGAGTGAAATATCTCAGTCACAAAAGGACAAATGCTGCATGATATCACTGTTATAAAACAGTACTGACATGGGGGTTGGGGGAAGAGTAAGAGGGAATAAACAATGTACAATAATGAAAGATATTTTTTCAAAGAGAAATGTGAACTGGGGGCAGGGAGGAAAATTTGCAACAATGAATCCAAGGTCTCTGTAAACTTTCCTTAAAATCTGAATTCAAAAAAATAAAAGAGCTTTCCAAACTATTTAACATGAAAAAAGATATATAATTTTCCTAGGTACTGTGTGTCAGAGGGGGCCAAAAAACAAAAGCAAGATGGCAAGTAGGAAGTCAGATCACCCCAACCTAAAGTCCTTCGTCTTCTCATCCATCTCTGGATACTGTTCCCAGTGAGTCACAGAAACAGTGGGAAATGACAACATATCTGTGACCCATAGCTCATGCCACAGGCAGGGAGTTTGCCCAAAGATCAAGAAATATTTGGGGCATCCTTTTGCTAAGACAAAAAAAATTTAATTAATTTTCTGAAATCTAAATTTAAGGAAGAGTCCTATATTTTATCTCACAACCATACCTGAAAAGACTAAGAAACAGGGTGTTCAAAAGGAGGGGGAGGAAAGAAGGAAGGAAGGAGAGAGAGAAGAGAAAAAGAAAGAGAGAAAGAGAAAGAAAGAGGAAGGAAGGAAGGAAGGAAATCAGTGGGTTTGTGAAGCATTCCTCCCTGGCTGAGCGGGGAGGAGTGTCCTTGGAAGTGATATGGTTAGATCAAGGACGCAACTCTAGAAATTTCATCACTTCACACCCTAGTTGTATGTGGTTTAGGTTTTGTCACTTTGGTACCTACAATAAAGAATTTGCAAGTTCTTCAGAGGGCCAAGGTCTGTGTTTGCTTGGCATAGAGAGGGGAGCAGACAGGCTTCTGAGAGACCTCTGTGACACTAAGGAAGCAAAGGGCTGTCTGGGTTGATGCTTAGCCTGAGGTAGATTCCTCTGTCCACTCTTCCCTGATTTCAGAGGCACCTTCCAGAAACTCCCCAGAGGCCTGAGGTAAGCAGCTGAATGACTAGGATACTAGTAGAAAATAACTAGCATGATACACCAATTATATTTCTTGATATCTAGAGATGATGCCTACTTGTTAAATTTGGGGCACATTGTGAAATTAATTATCATTCACTGTTCTGCATTAAATCGGTGGTCAATCTCTCTTACAAGGAATAAAAGAGAAGCTTTTGTGAGAGTTTCTTGTCAGTAAAGTTCCGCCTCATGTTGTCCTCATCGTGGCCTCTAGTTTTTGCTTTCTCAGAGTGTGTGTTGAGTCACAGGTGATTTTAGACAAGCTATTTAGACCCACACCCACCTTTGTCTTTTAGAATCATGTGGCAGTTTCACCTCATAGACACAAGCCTCTAGAATCTTACATAACTGGTGAGTTTTTTTCTGAGTACTTCTGGTTCTTACTGGTTTGGTTGGTGGCATTACTATGTTAAATTTAGGCCTGCTCCAGTAATTCTCTCACACACAACACAGGGACACTTATATGAAAGTATAATTATACAGTTTAATTCCCAAATATTTCTGCAAAAATATTTTTCAATCTTTTGCATCAAATGATAATAATAATCAGCAGTGTATATACATGTATGTCTTATATGTGTTTGATTAAGATTAAATTATCCATTTGTTGTGGATTAAATTGTGTCCCCTGGAAAAAAAAATGTTGAAATTCTAACCCTTGGTACTTGTGAATGTGACCTTATTTGGGAACATGAAATCACCTTAAAATTAGTTCATACTGAATTAGGATGGGTCCTTATGTGACAGATGTGATGATGTTGTTGTTAGGTGTCATAGAAACCCTTTGAACTAAAGATCTGAACCCTGTTCTGTCCTGCACCATCCTCACACTTCCTGATACACAAGAGCCCATTGCAGCAGTCACTGTGTGACCACCTGGGTGAGGGTCTTCCTCTCCTTCACTGACCCTCCACCCTTCCCAACATCATGTCCTTCTCCAAGGAATAGCACCTCCTAGCAACACGCCCAAAGTATGTGAGGTGAAGCTTCATCATTCTTGCCTCCAAAGAGCACTCTAGCTGCACCATCTCCAAGACATATCTGTCTGTAATCCTGGCTGTGCATGGGATGTTCAGTACTCTTCTCCATCACCATAGCTCCAAGGCATCAATTCTTTTCCTGTCATCCTTATGGTGTATATCCTTATAGGAAGAGAAGACAGACATAGACACAAATGGAAGCCCTTTATGTGCAGGGACAAGCAAAGGTTGTGTTGGAGTAGGATTTTCAAAACCTGATTTTTCAGAAATATACCACCAAGTCCTTCTTCCAATAGGAACCTTGGTGACACAGAAGATTAAACATCAGATTTCTAACTGAAAGGTTGATGGTTTAAATCTACCAACCCATCCATTGGACAATGATAAAGTGGTCTGTTCCTGAAAGGACTTACAGCCTTGGAAACTCTAAGGATCAGTTTTACTCTGTTCTGTAAGGTCCTCATAGGACAGAATAGGCAGTGAGTTTGGATTGAGGTTTTGTTTCCTCCTGAAATTTCTGAGTAGACTCACATCACCAACCCTCAGGTTAGCAATACAAGTCAACTGTTTGCACTGCCCAAGGGCTCCAGATTTTAGATAATAAATCAAATTGTCCTCCTGACAACTCTACCCATTTATATTCATATTAGTGGCGCTGTATTCATATTAGCAATGTTTAAGGTAGCTCTGGTAGCCTGGAGGTAAGGAGTTGCACTGCCAACCCAAAGGCTGTGTTTCAAATTTACCAGCTCCTCTTAGGGAGAAAGATGGGCAATTTCCTCCTCCATGATTTACAGTTTCTAAAAAACCACTGGAGGGTCAGTTATGAGTTAGTTCCAACAAGAAGTAATGTTTGAGGGAGTCTGAGCATTTACTTGAACTTTACCCAAAGAATTAGGCCTTTCTGCACAGTGGAGTGGATGTAGGGGGTGGAGGGAGGGATTGCATAACAATGAAAGAGTTTTTCTTTCTTTTCAAGGAGAAGAGTGAATAGTGGGAAAGGGGGTGGGCAGGGAGAAAAGTGCAACAATTAATGACTGGAAACTTTCATTCAAATTAATTTTTTTAAAAAGAATTAGGCCTTTATTCCTAGTTCTGAAAAGTAAGCTCTAAAACCTTGGAATTTCTCCTATAATTAATGTGCTTTCAATAAGGTTTCCAGACCACACCTGAGGATGACAGTAATGGACCAGGGAGTCAGTGGACTGATTCAATAAATCATGCCTGTGTAATAAGACCCCATAAAGCTGTAAGCATGGAAACTCCTGGTTGGTGAATGACTTCAATGAATAAGAAAGGACAGTAGGTCTCTTTATGGGGTACAGATAAGCCCTACATTTGAAATTCTCCCAGACCTTGTCCCATGTGTCTCTTTAATTGTATCCTTTTTCTTATAATAAAACTATAATCATTAATTTAACACTTTCCATTAGTTATTCCATGTAAGTCATAGTAAGGGAGTAGTTAGAGCCAGGAGGTCAGAAGGCGGGGGGGGGGGGGACGACTAGGGCTCCTGAAATATTCTGAGGAGGTTCTCCAAATTTGTAACCAAAGAGTGTCATATGGACTCCGGAGCTGGTCGCTGGTGTCTGAGGTCTTGAGCCAGCTTGGCTCCTACAGAATCATGCTCATAACTGATGAGCTCTGACCTAGCTTTGTGTGGTTAGGAGCAGAGAAAGAGGTGCTGTGTGTGTAGCTGGTGTCAGAGCAAAGGTGGAATAGATAAAGGTCCACACCTAAACTAGGTGAGCATAAAGGAAAGAGATAGCTGAGAAGAGGCACAAAGTTCCTATACCATAAAATATTTTTTTTAAAGGAACAATCTCTGGACCATGCTGAATATAGTTTTAATGCAGGATGGACATATAAAACATCTCTCAAAAGGGAAACCAGATTGCTTTGTAGTTAAACACACATGTGTCGAAACAACTATGAGACATCATCTCACTCCAGTAACAATAGCAAAATTCAACAGAGCAGCAAACAACAAAAGCTGGTGAGGTTGCGGAGAAACTGCAACCCTTATTCACTGTTGGTGGGAGTGTAAAATGGTGCAACCACTGTGGAAGGTGTAAAATGGTGCAACCACTGTGGAAGACAGTATGGAGCTTTCTCAAAATGTCGGAAATAGAAATACCATTAGACCCAGAAATTCCACTAATGGAAAATTACCCAAAAGAAATCACAGCTGTCACCAAAAATAGATATATGCACACCCATGTTTATTGCATCTTTGTTCACAATGGCAAAGAGATGGAAACAAACCAAGTGCCCATCAACAAATGAATAGATAGAGAAGCTGTGGTATATTCACACAATGGAATACTATGCAGCACTGAAAAACAAGGAATTCATGAAAATATTATACAAAATGGGTGATGCTGGAGGACATTATGCTGAGCAAAATATCTCAGTCACAAAAGGACAAATACTGCATAATGCCACTGTTATAAAACAGGACTGACATGGGAGTGAGGGGGGAATCTAAAAAAAGAGGGGATAAATAATGTACACTGCATTGAAACATATGAGGGAAACAACTATTTAAAAGGAATATATGATTAGGTATTGTTTGCATGATAATACTCCAGAATAAGAGTTGTATAGCAAACTGGACTGTGGGTGGGGTGTGGAGAGGAAAATGTGCGACAATGAATGAATGGAAATCCAAGTTCTCTATAAACTTTACTTAAAAATATAAAAAAAATTTAGTAACAACAGAAAAAATAGACATTCTACCCCCCCCCTCATAAAACACCAAAACATCTACACACATATGCGGCAAAGGAAGCCCAAGAATGCCTCTGGGGATGAGGAGTAAAAATACACACACACACACACACACACACACACACACACCCCAATCACAAACACACCACATACACACAGAGGCATGTGTAAGCCAGGGCCCACTGTCATCTGTAAGATAAGGGGCTTGAAGCAGCTGAGCATGAAGAAGGTCGTCGCACATCTTGGCATAGCTGAGTCTGTTGGTGAGGGCCCCAGCCATTGGCAGCACTGTCCCCATTTGGACACATGGGTCATCCTTGAGTGCTGTGGTTGCTCCTTAGCTCATGCTGACGCGCAGCAGGGAGACTGGGATGGGAAGCATGTGAGCACGCAGCGTATGGCGGATCTGAAAGGCAAAGGGAGCCGGGTGGTTCTCCATTCAGTTCGTCTGCCCCGGAAACACACCGTGCGGAGGGAGCAGGTGTGTGCGGAGGACTGCAACTCGACCTGACCTTCTCTTGTGCCGAAAACGTGATGTCACACACAGTATGTCACTTGCACCTCACAGCAACCTCGGTGAGGCAGCTTTTATCAACGTCATTTTATAACAAAAGAAAATAATAGGGATCGACTAGCCCCAGGTCACATAGCCAGGAATTAGAATTCATACTCAGCTCTATCTGGCTACAAAGGTCTTTTTGGTCTGACTTCTGCACCGATACTAACGGTTCATTCCCAACCAGAACCGACAACCTACACCTTCATGGCGTACTTTCTGACTGTCAGCTGTCTGACCTGCTTCTGATATCCCTGCTTCTGATCCCAGAATAGACACCTCAGATTGCACATTCAAGTCCAGTCTCGCTCTTCAACTAGGGCTTATTCTTGTTACCACATTATCATGTAAGTGGCATTTGCCATTTATTTGGCTGTCTCACAGCAAAATCCATACTATCCTAAGTCTGGGAAGTTCCCAGATAGTCCCACTTGCCATCTCCTGGCGGTAGAGTCTGAGCACAAGAACTGGTCTGGGTTCAGTCTATTGACAGTGACAGCCATCTGTAGTCTTAGGTTCAGACGTCATGGTGCCCATGGACTGAGGCAGCATCCAGTGGCCACACTGATCACCAAGAGTAACTGTTCCCTAATCAAGATGTTCCCAGTGACTAGTCCCAAAGCAATCTGGGTTTCTCCTCAGGCATTCCATTGATTCTATGCACTCTTGTAACCTGCAACAAATCTTTTTTTTTCTTACTACAAGTCTTACTCTTTTGCCTGCAACAAAAGGTCGCACCAGCAATGGATATGTTCTGCTTCTGTATGATGAACGCACACACTAATCTCTCGAGGCTGCCACCAAGATCCCACCCCAGCATATAGTCAGCCAAAACTCCCTTCAGGTTCACCTTACAAGGAATTATATCAGACTAGAATGTTCCTGAGCCATATGGAATCCAAAGTCTGCAGGAGGTACTAGGCACAAGCTTAAGGTCTAGACAGGGCACACTACCAGCTATAAGGTGGTCCACACAGACTGTACAGTGGGGCCCATCATAGAATCCAGACATTTCCCACATCATGTTCCCTCTCCTGTTTTGTAGACTAGAGGAATATACCTGAGGGAAGCTGGAGCCATGACCCTTGCTCTTGAGGTACCCATTATAACATTGCAAAGAATCATATGAACCCCAAAAGGTCCTGACCCCAGAATTCTCCCATAGGAAAACTCTGTCCAAAGCTCTGAGTTTAGGAGAATTTTCTCTATTTGTACAAATATACCCCAATCTTTGTGTCCACGTATGATTGAGTTGTGGTTTGTTTATTTGTTTGTTTTTAATTTTTGTTGTTGTTGCCCAGTATCTCTATTTCCTTTGAGACTGTCCTTCCCATCCCACATTCAGACTGTCAATCATGGTGGACCCAGCAGATTCCTGATATGATGTACAGGTCTTTAAAGAGACAAGTGACTTCCTCAGCTGAGGTTGCTAAGCTGAAAGTTTGTGAATCCAAGATTGTCACAGCCACCTTTCCTTACACGTGGAAGGAAGCTGCTCAAAGAGGCAGAGAAGAGCTAAGAGAGGGCGAGAGGGGGAAAATCCTTTTGGTCATGTGTGGGCTGCTGGATCCAGCCATAAGTGATGCTGGAAAACCAGGAATAGATTTCTCAGTCAACAGCTTTCTTTTTCTATATAAACTACAATGAGTTGGGCTTCTGTCACCTGCAACCAATAGTCTTTCCCCATTTCTCCATTAATATCCCCTGAAAATGAGAATTTTCTAGGGCCTGTGGAAGTTGGGACCTGGGACAATTTTCTTTAGATTCAGAAAAGAAGAATTAAGAACTCAGAAAAAGAAAGCAATAAAGTCAGGCAGGCAGCCTCACTTTAGCACCTAATACTCCATAAGAAACAAGACCCTCACTTAAATGTTGCTTTTCTCTACCCTGAACATCTTATCCTGGAATCTTCTATAACTGCTCACATTCCACTGCTTGCCTCACCTAGAAAGCGCCCACTCACCTGCCTTATCAGTCTCTCTGTCACCCGAGGGTCAGTGAGATCTTCTGGGGAGACCACACTCAGCCGCAGGAGGAGGAAGCCTCCATCCTCATCTGTAAATTGAGAACGGCAGGAAGATGAAGATGCAGTTTAGTCTGTTTCATAATCAAGATGTGCATTGCACTACCCCCACACACACATCCTTGTGTGCACACTAGTGTGTCTGCGTGTCCATGTTCACTGGAAAGGTTACATTTTACTCATTGCACAAAGAGCCAGAATTCTGTGAAGGAAATGATAGCTAAAAGCATCACCCATACTTAAAGAACAGATATGCTTTAGCACTGATGATGAAGCTTCATCTCACATACTTTGGGCATGTTGCTAGGAGACATTATTCCCCAGAGAGGGACATCATGCTTGGGAAGGTGGAGGGACAGTGAAGGAGTGGAAGACTCTCAACTAGATGGATTGACACAGTGACTGCAGCAATGGGCTTAAGTGTGTCCGAGATTGTGAGGATGGCACAGGACAGGACAGGGTTCAGATCTCTTGTACACAGGGTCACTATGAGTTGTACTCAACTCGACAACACCTAACAACAACATATTTAAAGATGTCAAAAGGACAGCGTGGGGAATGGGATACGGAAGTCCTGGTGGGGCCTGTGGGAGAGGATCAGCCAGGGAAAGTGCCTCTGAAGGGGTTCCCTAAGGGAACTACTTCAGGATAAATCCTTGGGGAATACAGAGGTCTTCTGACTCATCTTTACTGGCTTAGTAACTCAGTAAGAATTTTTTTTACTTGATTTCTAATCTACTTGTCTTTATTTGCCCCTTGTTGCCACCTCTTCCTATCAGAATACTATATACTAATGCAACAATGACATTTTTATTACTTTCCCATACCGATAATAACACTCATAGGAGAGAAATACACTGTTTAGAGTAGCACTGTTTATGATAATAAAATATGACATACAGCCTAAAATAAGAAACCATCTGCATTTCCGTTGACTTGCTCATTGCTGTTTAGTGAGAACTGACTCATAGCTGACCCCCCAGTGAATGTTCAGAGGCTGTAAGTTGCATGGGAGGAGATTGTCCATCTTTTTTTCCCTGTGGAACTGCTGGTGAGTTTGAACCACGGGAGAAGGCACAGCCTTTGGGTTACCAGTGCAGCTTCCTACCCACCGCACCGCCAGCGCTCTTGAATGTGTGTGTGCTCACAGAAAACTAGAAAACAGCTACAGACTGGACGAGAGTCGAGTAGACCAAGCAAGGTCTGACGAGGAACTTCCTTACTAAGCACTGCATCATCTCAGAAGTGGAGCTTTAAACTCCAAAACTTAGCCCAGTCTTCTCAAGTTCCTGTTTGTGATACCAATCCTGTAACATACAACCTGTGACCCCAGCTTTCTTGGGGTCCCATCTTTTCAGCAGTAACTCTGGCCAGATGCCCATATACTGCCCCTCTGTGTAGCTGTGACACAGACTTCAGAACATGAGGGCCATGCCTGTCAAATAAAATGTGGGGCCTTAGCTGATATATTTACTCAATAGTTAACTTTGTAGGAGGGCAGAGCTAGAAAGGACTTCGGTGCTCATTCAAAGCAAGTGCAGATGGGAAAACTGAAGTCCAAAGAAAGATATGTGTCTACAGTCATTTAGACTGCTAAGGGCAGAGACAAAGTCTCGAACTACTTTCCCAGACAAAGCCCGTACTCTTTCCACATGCAATGCTGACTCTGTTTATTACTGATTTGGGCAAGAATCCCCAGGAGATCATGAGAGGTGATATTGGAGAGATGGCTCAGAATAGGTCCAGGATTTTTCCTTTCTCCCTAATTCTTAAGCGTATGGACATTCCCAAGACTCTAAACTTCAGGTCCCCAAAGACCACATGTGGGGGAGCCACTCACCTGCAGCGCCTCTTGTGGTCAGCTGTGTCTGGGCAGTGGAGGGCACAGCTGTCGGAGGCTTCCTTCTGGTTGTGCTGGTGCTCATCAGGGGCCCTGAGGAGGCTGTGGTCTTACTCATAGTGATGTTTGCTCTTTGGCTACTGTTGGCTGTAATCAAATGGACAGAAGGAACAGGGTCCCTGCTGGTGGAGAAGGTTCTACCAGTTGCACTGTCTGTGGTGAAAGTTTCTGAAGATGTAGAATTCTTGATGGTGACTACTTCTGAGGGGCTATTCATTGTTGCTGAGAATGTCAGTGGAGCAGGAACTTTGCTCATTGTTGATTCCGCTTCTGTGGAGACTGTGACTGTTTCTGAGACCTCAATGTGACTACTTGTTCCAACATAGAAGGATAAAGTTTCTTCCCAGGACTGAGTGCTGCTAACTGGCACCAGAGGGCTGTTGTGGGTAGAGGCCTTGATGGGTGTTTCTCTGTCTGTCATGTCTTTGGTGATTAGTGGGACATCACCTGTGGTCCCAGGTGTGCCTGACCTGACTGGTGTTTCTGTGTCTGTCGTGTCCTTGGTGGTTAGTAGGACATCACCTGTGGTCCCAGGTGTGCCTGATTCTGTGGTGCTGAAAGTTGACATGGTCTCATTAGAGGCTGTGGTGTCAGTGATGTGTGCTGATTCCATGGAATCCGGAGAGGCTGATATCTCAGGGGTGGGCAGGGCCGCTACTCCTCTGGTGGGGCTGTGGTTTGTTCCTGAGGGCCCAGGCACAGTAGCACTTGTATCTGTTTCTGTGACGCTGCTATTGGTAACCTCAACGCCCGTAATGGTGTAGGCCTCCCACACTTTAAAAGGATCCATGCTACCAGGTTCCAGGGCTGACGAGGTGGTGATGTCAGAGGAGGCCCTGCTCTCTGAGGTCAGACTCTCAGCTTCTGCAGAGGTGTGAGCCAACACCGAGATGTCAGCTGTGACCATCTTTACCTCTTCAGTGCTTTCATCAGTGCAAAGGGAATCAAAGATGAATTTGGTGAGCTTGCTGCCTGTAACAGCTGTGGCCATTTCAGATATTGCCATGCTGTCACTAGTGGCAGATGTCTCCAAAGAGTTGGTGACCACAACCTTGAACTGGTAAGGTATGGTTTTTGTCAGGGCAAGGGTCTCTGTTTCAGGGAAAGTGCTCCTGGTGTCTCTGGTCCTAGTGGTGCCAGTGAGAACAAAGGTTCCAATAGAGGTCTCAGTTCTTCTATGTTGAGTTTCTAGAGGGAGGTGGCCTGAGATCTCAGGGACATCGGTGTTCCGGGAGACTCCCTCTGAGCTTGTCCTCACCCCTGCTGTCACAGCAGACGTTTCTGCATGGTATGTTCTTACCAGCGGATCTAATCTGCTGGTGCTGGGACCTGCATTTGGGGAGATTGACTCTGAATCAATGGATAACTTCACACCTACTCTTGCCTTTATGCCCTGGGCACCACTGGGAGGAAGGCAGGGAAGGAGAATTGGTTTTATCCCAGTTTTTACCTTTATAAACAGTAAGGAGAGAGACAAGATAGGGATCAGTCTCCTGTGGCAGACACAGAACTGGCATTGCCTTGACTGATGTCATCTGAAGCCCAGATGTCTCACTTAAAGTCCCAGTATCCTGCCTGATTACTGGGGCTGCAGGCAGTCAGAGGTAATGTATGCAGCTAGAGTCCACATGTAAATTGAAAAACAAGGAACTCATGAAATATTATACAAAATGGATGTCCCTAGAGGATGTTAAGCTGAGTGAAACATCTCCATCACAAAAGGACAAACACTGCATGGTGCCACTGTTGTAAAACAGAACTGACATCAGGGTGGGGGGAGACTGAGAAAGATGGGATAAATTATGTATACGCATTGAAACAGATGAGGGATAGAACTGTTTAAAAGGGATATGTGATTAGGTATTATTGTCATGACAGGAGTCCAGAACAAAGGCTGCATAGTGAAGTGGACCTGGGGGGAGGGATTGTAAAACAATGAAGGAATTTTTCTTTTACTTTTCAAAGAGAAGAGTGAGTTGGGGGGCGGAGAGGTGGACAGGGAGAAAAGTACAACAATGAATGAATGGAAATCCAAAGTCTCTGTAAACTTTTGTTAAAATTAACAAAAAAAATAATAACTATTTAAAAAAGTAAAACCTTTAGCATATCAGAAAGGCCTGCGGTTTTGACTTTCGAGTAGCTGAAGCCTCTGACCACTGACCTTCCCTCATGTGTCTCCTTACTTTTCCAGAAGCCCTGTGGCATGCTTCCTGATGCAAAATATACTCACACTTCCTAAACCCACGGCTACCAAAGCCCACCTCTCACTTCTACAGCTCTAGAATGTTCCAGACCCATGGTTCCTTTCTCAAATCAAACATGAGGACTAGAAGAGTGGAAAATGTGGGCCTTTGGAACCTTGGTTTGAGCCCTCTTTCTGCTGTTTGCTGGGTGACCTTGGGCAACTTTCTTCCCTGTAAATCTGCACTTTCTCATCTGTAACATTCAACTTCCTGTTGTTGTTGGGCCAGAAACATCCCAGCTCATGTGACCCAGGTGCTAGGGTTGAACTGCTGCACAGATTTTCTTGGTTGTAATCTTCATGGAAACCATTCACCAGGCCTTTATCTTCCAGACTCCTGGCTGTGTTTAAACACCAACTTTCAGATGAACAGATGATTACAAACTACTTACACCACCAGATACCTTAAATGGAGCTTAAAAACACAATCCACTGCTGTGGAGCCAATTCTGACTCATGGTAACCCTCCAACGGGTTTCTGAGGATGTAAATCTCTACAGGGGCCACTGCCCATCTTTTTCCCTCTGAGCAGCCAGTTAATTCAAACTGCCAACCTTGGTTCACAGGACAACATGTGATGTATTATATCACCCTTACCATGGAGACTGTGAAAATCAAATTGATTGTTAAATATCTAGTACAAACCTACCATATTGTAGGTGCTTGCAGGAGATATTGTGGTCCAGTGGCTAGAAGTGCGTGTGTGTGTGTGTGTGTGTGTGTGTGTGTGTGTGTGTGTGTTGTGTACTAAAATCAAACCCTGACTTTGTGCATGAGTTTCTTAATCCTCATAAGCCTCAGTCACCCTCATATTTAAAAGTGGGGCTAAAAATAGTTCCTTTATCATTGAGTTGATGGGAAGATGAGAAGGGTGATAATAGTTCCTATCAATGAAAGATCAATGCTAGTCCCCTTCCTCCATAAACTCCTTAATCTATAATCTATAGCAGTCAGATCTTTCAATTACAAACAATAACAACTCTGTTTTGAAGGAAATTCAAGTTAGAAAATAAACTTGGAGGAATTTGACTTCCGTGAAGCCAGTTTTTGGCTTTAAGAATTAATCAGCCAGGTTGTGTCACCACCAGCCAACCATACACTCAGGCATACTCAATCACCTCACCGATTAAAATCCCACCAGTACGCAGACAAATCTACCAGGACCCATTCAATAGCACACATTTCAATATATTGCAGTGATGATACACGCATAAATTGACACACAGTGCAATTTGAAAAACCTTTACCAACAATAAAAAGTCTTCATCTTTTTATAGACTTACAGTTAATTATAATTAGCTTAGGAGAATGTGCTCTGACCCACAGAGGCTGCCCATACTGAAACTCATAGCCAGAGCCCCACCAGGAAGGAAGACCATGGCTTCCCTCTCTCCTCCTTACCTGCAGAGCACCTGGGGATCCCAACTTCCCAAGAGAGGAATAAAAAGGACAGAGCCAGGCACCTGAGGATGCCCATCCCAGCTGGGGTGCCAGTCGCCATGCCTGGCAGACCTGCCCGCTGCCCTCACTGCTCTTTTCCTGCTTCCTCAACCCAGGGAGGAGGGGCGGGCTGCCTAGCTGGGTGTGACTGTGTGGTTTCAGGATGCAGCCAGGTGATCACAAATGCACAGGCTGAGAGCTGGCAGGTAGAGCTTCAAGTTAGGGCTCTCAGCCATGCTGACCCTCTTATGCCCCCTCCTCATGTAACAGCCCTTCTCTGAAGTTTGGTTTAAAAATATGGATAGAATCACTTCCTTGGTGTCATTCACTCCTTTCGTCCCACAGCTGAGGAAGCCATGGAAGATGGTGGCTCAGTTCCACACTCTCACTCATGCTTTTGTTGTACCTGGGACTCAGGCTTCTAGTTTATCAGGTAGACCAGAGTTTTGTTTTGGATGCTGGATCTTACCAGTTCTATAATTATAGAACCTTTCTGAACCTCAGCTTCTTTATAAGAATTGTGTACAAAGGGAGCTCTGGTGGCCTAGTGACAAAAAGCTGCACTGTAATCTCAGAGGTATGCGGTTTAAATCCACCAGATGCTCTGCTGGAGAAGGAGGGACAATTTCCTCCTGTACCAGTCAGATCTGATTTGACAGAACACACAAAAAAATAATACATTTTTTAATTATTATTAATTTTAATAGACATTTACAGAGGTTTTGGATTTCCATTCATTCATTTCCGCACTTTTCTCCCTGCCCACCCCTCCCCACCAGCTCGCTTCCCCCTCCGAACAGAAAAAAAAAATTCCTTCATTAGTATACAATTCCCACAGTAAATTTAAAAAAAAAAAGAATTGTATGCAGCAGCTAAGCTCTTACACAGTATCGCTTACATAGCTGGTGTTCATAAAAAATATAGAGACCTTACCAACTCACACACTATTGTTAAATCAGTTTCAACATTGGCAAGCCTCCAGCAAGGTCTGTAAATATTTATCAGTAGAGATGGTCTGTTTTTGTCCTGTGGAGTAGCTGGTGGATTTGAACTGCAAACCTCTTGGCTGGTAGCCTGATATATCACAGACTACACTTCCAGGGCTCCTTCAATATATGCAATGTAGTTGATGTTAGGTGCTGTTGAGTCAAGTACAACTCATAAACACCCTATGAACAACAGATCTGAACCCTGTCCTACCTTGTGCCAACCTTACAATTTGTGACCCACTTGAGCTCATTGTTACATTCACTGTGTCAGTCCACCTGGTGAGGGTCTTCCCCTCCTTCACCATTCCTCTACCTTTCTAAGCATGATGTCCTTCTCCAAGGAACAGCCTCTCCTGGTATGTGAGACAAAGCTTCACCATCCATGCTTCCAAGGTGCACTCTGGCTTCAACTTCTCCAAGACATATCTGTCTGTTCTTTTGGCAGTCCATGGGATAGCCAACACTCTTCTTCAACACCACAGTTCAAAGGCATCAATATATCCCTTAGGCTTTCAATAAATGAATAAGGAAATAGGAGAGTCCACTCCAAACCTCAAACAATAAAGAGAAGGAAGTGTCCACTGAGGTTTTGGGTGACAGCTCCTCAATGTGGGAGCATGACTCTGATCTCTAGTTCCTTCCATCTCCAACACCTTGGGTGTCTGTGTCTATCTAGGCTGAGGAACTGGCATGGCGATGGTGAAGGAGAGAGTGAAAAGAAGGGAAAGAAGAAGTACACTGGACTGAGCTTCAGGGCCTGGGAGGAGGGGCATGCAAGAGGAATGACTTAGAGAAGCCGAAGGGAGTAGACCATGAGCATAGCAAGGTAATTGCTGCATGTCTTTGCAGGAATCCCTAGAAAAGACTCTTACGCCTTCAAGGTGCCAGGGCCATGAGCTATTACAGCTATCCTTGGTGTCCAGAAAGACACTGTGGGAATTTTAGGGCAAAAGTTTTGTGATGAAAGCAGCTCTGGTTTAGAGGGACACATATTGAATCAGGGTCTTGGAATTATAATATCGTAGGACTAGGAGAAACATTGACATTGGATCAGTAGATGCAGATTCTATTTCCAGCCCTACGCTTATCCATATTCTGGAAACCGCATGATCTTTTTTTGTAAAAAAAAAGAAAAAAGTTCATTTTATAGTGGTTTGCATAAAAAATTCATATACAATGTGTTTGACACTTTCTTTCATTCACTTTGTATTTCATACAATCATGCCCACACATTGTGGTGTTTTGTTTTGTTTTTTCTTACAATTCACACACATTGTGTTTTTAAAAATCAATCACCATTGATCTATGCCCACCATTACTCTGTCTTTTCAGGTT